GTCAGAATGTGCTGTTGATGAACGAATTAGAAGGTGGGGATGAGCTCACGTTGAAGGGCCGGAAGGAGAGAAGCTGGGACTCGGAGAGGCCCTCCGGCAGCTTCACCTGGATGCCGTGATCTTTGAGGGTGATTGTCGACATTGTTGTGACGAGTCGGGAGTGAACCTGGTTGACGCGTTGAGAAAATGTGGCTGGTCTCAGAATATTCCTGGGTGAAGGAATGAATTTCTGTGGAAAGCGTTTTAAAGCAGGCGCGAACGTGCTCATACTGCCTCGCAATTGACCTTATTGAGTTGCACAGGTGTTGTCGAATGTAAGTGTAAGTGAATGAAAGGCTGACGTCAGACTTCAGGTATTGGCTTGGTGGGGTCTTTCTGCCGATGGCGTTGCGCCAAACGAAGGAAGGTACGATAAAAATGTAAAAAGTGCAGGATGACAGTTCGCCGGGGTAGATATCATAAAACGGATTGATACGTGTGTGTATTGCGATTCGTAGAACTTTTCATTCATCTGTTGTGCTTTTCCTGCCTGCCTTATGCTGTTTATGCTATGCAAATGCGAACCGCCCTCACCCCTTCCTCTAACTCCCTTCCTACACTCGCGATGCTGATGTAACAAAAGGAAAAGAATCCTTTCCCACACACCGCAACCACCCGTAATCAACTTGAAAACTATTCCCAGATGCAATCTGAACCTCGTAGAACAGTTTGGTAAAAAGCAAAAGTGCAAAAAAGACAAAAAAGTTCGGAATTGAACTGGGCGTCCCCAGTTCATTCCTATGAAAAACAGCCGGACTGTTTTTGCGCCGAGGGTACGTGTTCGGCCACCCACGCCCGTCGTCAACTGCGTGCTAGTCTCTGGGGTTGCGGATGAGAGCGATTCACTGCTAGATAAAGCCTTCTGCGGGTCGGATGGGATGAAAGGGTCGACGGGTGGCCGGAGAGGTGGTCGACTTCAAGGTGCGCGCGAGTCTTGTTGTCCAAAGGTGAGGACCCACCCAATCAGCCCAAGAAGTTCTTCAGATTTCCGCCGATGTTCTTGAGGTCCAAGAGGAATGTGTCGTGACCGAAGAAGCTCATCTCCTCGCTCAGCTCAATGTGTGCCACGTTTCGGTTACCCGCCAGCTTAAGGGCCTGCGCGACTTCCCTCTGCTGCCACGCAGGGAAGAGGATGTCGCTGGCGACACCAATAACGAGGGCTGGGGTATCCCTAAGAGGGGAGAGACCAGCGATCAGGTCTTCGGGAGGTCTCGACGACACCTCGGCGGGCTGATCTGATGCGCCAGCGTTTGACTCCGGTTGCTCCTCGTAAGGCTTCTCGGGAAGGGTCAGACTGCAAGCAGCATCGTTCCTTGTAGGCTCAACGCCAGACTGCAGCAGCTTCTCACGCTCCGCCCTCCTTGCGCTTGCAGCCACCTGGTTCTCCCGTCCGAGGTCGAAAAGGTCCATGGCCTTGCTGACGTAGAGAAGACTGTTGGGGTCGTAGGTGAGACAGAACTTCTCTCCAGCATGATCAAGATACGTCTCGATCAAGAAGTCTGGGCACAGCGCCGGCGGCTTGCTGGGATCCGCCCTCCTCCTTCCAAAGCGCTGCTCCCATTCGGGTCCCGAGCGATATGTAACCGTCGCGATCTCTCGCGCAAGCTTCATACCAGCGTGGGGCGGCACCCTGCCATAGTAGAACCCTCTGTTCCAGTTCGGGTCCATCATCAACACCTGTCGCTGTGTGTGGCGCATCGCAATACTGTACGGGTGACTCCTTGCGCAACCGCTAATGGACACGATCCTGCCCACGCGGTTAGGGAACAGCGTTCCAGCAGCAAGCGACTGCATTCCACCCATACTGGACCCAACGCTTGCATACAGCTTCTCCACACCGAGGCCATCCAGCAACCTGAACTGCGCGCGCACCATGTCCTCCATTGTCAAGATCGGGAACCGTGTCGCATATCGCTGGCCGTCCGCGGGATCGATACTACTAGGCCCTGTCGAGCCATAACATCCTCCGATTACGTTTGTGCAGATTACGTGGTATTTATCCGTGTCGAGCGCAAGCCCTGGGCCGATGAACTTCTCCCACCAGCCAGGCTTCGGGTTGCTCTCCGTAGAATGCGCATGCGACGACGCAGACAGGCCGGTGTGGAGGAGGATCACGTTCGACTTGTCCGCATTCATTTTACCCCAGGACTCGTACGCGATATCGAACTCGGGCAGGACGCCGCCCCAGTCGAGGAGGAGGGGCTCTTCGCAGTGGTACGTCTCCGTTGCGCCGGCCGTGTAGGAGGGCTCGTTGCTCGACTCGAACTTCGCTTCTAGTGTCGCGGACCGGTTCTCGAGGGCGTCGAGGCACGGGAACGCCATCGCCGGGTTCGAGGCATCGCCGGGGCTGTTGGACGCTTTGCGCGCCGGCTTGGAGTGGAATCGGCGCGTGGGTTGTTGGGAGCTGAGAGCTGCGGCAGAGCTCCGAATTGCGGCGGGGGTGCTGGTGCGGGGAATTGGAGCGCGGGCCTGGCGCAGGGCCGCTGAGGCGAGTCTTTGGCACTTCATGGCGACAATTGTAACGGGATCGAAGATATGGAAAGGCTCGCGAGAGGATCATGGGCCCTTGGCAAAGATATAGCAGCCGTCCTTGGTGTTTCCCGCGGCCGGGTTTGTAAGCTGGAGTTGCTTAGAGCTCCATTGTCGGCGGTGACGATGGTGCAATCTCACGTGACGATAAGCGATAAGCGTCGCGACAGACGGCCATTTCGCGTTGAAAGCAGATGATCGGATGTTCACGCCGAATAAACAGCAGCATCATTGTTATTGGATCCATTTAAAACACTTGCTACCTTCATATGCTTAGAAAGCCCTTTACAAGACTTGTGACCCGAAAATAAGAATATGAAGTATTTCCCCTGGATCTTGATCCGACAATGTTTTGCATATTAATACCTTCCTGGTCGCGATACTCACCTGCCTTATCACTTACCTAAGAAGAGACGCGAAATGTTCAGTGACCGCCAAGCACACCCGTCTGTTAAGGCAGACCAACAACCCCGGGCAGTATTCTATCAAATCAGGAGGCACCATGGATAGGAAGTCTTATTGGACGAGCGTGTGGCTAGGCAGAAACGTCACAATTTCTTTTCTTGCCAAAGCCCATCTGTCTGTCGTCTCTACATCACTTCGAGAGTTTTCGGAATACGTGAACATCGGCGCCCTTGAAACACCAGGTTCATGTCCGAATAGCTGTCTAACAGCATTCACCCACAATCGACCGTATCAATGTCGTTTCGAATCAACAACTCAGGGGTTCTTCGACAGCATCACCAGATACCGCTACCGACTTATCGTGTCGACCGCTCATCGTCAGATGGTGGCATCTCAAATGTTCCACCAACGCAATCTCTGCTACCGAGCCGTCAAAAGAACCACGAGGATTCGGCCGCAGGTCTGAAGACGAACCGCGTCGCCCCGCCGAATCCAACACCGGAGTTCAAGAACAAAATGCCGAATCGCGCGTACGTACGTAGGTTTGACGGAAGGCATATAGAGGGAAGATTATCAGGAGCTTTCGAAAACCCTCTTTCGGAGCATGCTCGACAGAGAATCACCCAAACGTCGCGCCGCAGGCAGCCAGTCGGTCTGTCGACCACTCGGCCCACTCCGGTGTCAGCACCGCATCAACGAAGGAGGCCACGTCACGATCCCGCCGACATGTCTCTGTACGAGGCAGTGGCCGCAGCGAATGGAGAGAAGGCCGCGGAAAGAATCTTCAAGAATGCCAGATCATCAGACGACCGAGTTAGCCCGGCTCCCAAAGCTTCCAGCCATTCCAAAGCATCTTTCCCTCCACCTCGTCGCACGAGTGCCCGGCAGACTCCTTTACCATCCCCGAAACCTGGGGCTTTTCTCAAAGTCGACGCTACCATCTCAAAAGACAATACAGGCAGCGAATCTGTGAGATCAGCCTGTTTGCTCGCTGCTTTCGGTCAAAGACAGAGGTCCATCGAACAGTCCCATCTGAGCAATGTGACGGTTTCAGCTCCCCAACCTTCAGTATCCATATCCTCAGAAAACATACCGTTAGGCATGGCAAGAAAGAGCATGGTTGATTTTGGTTCAATGACGTTTGCAGATCCCTTGGTCTCGGACAACATCATCACTGACTTTGACTTTGATTCATTTCTTCATGAAGATGGTGACAACCAGTCTTTCGACTTCAACACTGGCACGATTAGCTGAAAGGGCTTAGGTGGAGAGTTTCTGGGGCGTATGAACCAGGCACTCGATACTAAAATCGACGTGAAGGGCAGTCCATCGCTGTCAGAGCTGAACGCAGTGGCTGGTTTCATCAAGGACGTTAGACTATAATATCGGGAAGATTCCAAGCATGAATTCGTTTTTTTTTTCTGAACCTTACCAACTATGAAGAAGGCAAACGGCGGCGACCGTTCTGGAAAGCTGAATGGTTGTGACGGCCGATGACGTCGTCTGGTGAGTTCCCTCCCCAGGCAGGTCTGGGGATGTTGCCGATGTACGCGCTGCAATGGTTTCAGACCATCGTTAGAGGTGCGCATATCAATGTAAGACCTACAGCTACTCAGAAGAAGCGCATCGTCTTCAATTCAGCGAACGGCCAAGTCCCAAGGACATTCACCATATGGAGTTGTACCATGTGCTTGTCACAGGTTCGGGACCGCGGGTTCCCCGCTGTGAATCTCCACGCCGCACTGACGTCAATTTAACCTTCCCGTTTAGCTAGTGGCACCAGTGCTCTAGCGGCCTCCCATCGACCCTGAATGTGGCCAGCACAGTGTTGAACTGACGTCGCCTCCGTCACACGTCAACCGACGCGTACGCTACTCTGGACCGTTACCTACATTCACTACCCCTCCATCCGCTCCTCAAAAGAACCTCTAGTGACATACATACCCATGTCGAACTTCTTCTCGACTTTACAACAATACGCCAGACCTCTCGCGACAGTTGCAGCAGGTGCGTTTCTTGCTAGGGCCATGGCGTTTCCCGACAACAACGGCCCCGAGGGCCAGTCATCAGCCCAACAAGTTCCCGGCGAATACAAACCCACCTTGGCCGATGTGCTGGTGGTCAGAGTCATGCTGGAGAAGGCCGCAAAGTTTCCGCCCGAGCTCCTTGACCTCATCTTCGACCAAGCCGAGTACTGGCCGCACTCCGAGGCCTCCATGGCATGGCAAGTCAACGTGCCCCGCGGCGGCGCCGGCATCGTCGGCGGAGACCCCAATGGCGAGAACAAGCTCCTTCTTAGGTGTCCCCCGATTGGATTCACCGACTACCGCAAGGTCGGGGAGGCATTCAAGACGGCCCCGCTCCCGCCCAAAGATGTTGACGGCTCGGCCGTGGAAGGGCCCCTGCAGAACTTGACTCTCATGGAGCCGAAGTCGAGTCCGACACTGCCTACGCGCGAAGCCCCGAGGGAGTACTTCGAGGGGTCCATGACGCAGCCGCCCGCGCTGACCCACCCGGTTCGAAAGATTGTGTTCAAGTTGCGGAGCAAGGACCAAGGTTGGGGTGGCAGCCACGAAGATAAGGGCACGTACAGGGGATCGTGGACTTGGTTTGAGGCGGGATTGGAGAAGTTCGACGAGGAGCGCAAGTGTAGGTTATTCCTGTTGCTCAAAAGGATGACAGCACACTGATATTTTGGATACAGGCGACGGTTCTTGCAAACGATCATCCCCGAGCCCACCCCCCGAACCCGAGGCGTCGGAGAGCAGCAATACACCTGGTGGTGGAGCTTCGAACTTCTGCACCTGCGGTCTCCAATCCGTGTATCCCCCCGTTGTTTCCACTTCTTCAATGACGGCCTACCACCACCACATGCACGCCCTGGATAACCTCAAGATCCAGGCCAATAAGACAGCGCATAGGGAGTTTGTGGACCATGAGGTGATCTGGTCATGGGCGGACGATATCCACCCAGATTCGCCCGAGGGCGACCGTCTGGCGGAAATGGGTCGCGGAAAGGGTACGGGCACGGGCAACTTCGTCCGCAGCTTGAAGCTGGGCGATGTTGTTACCGTCTGGGGCAAGGCTCGGTTTGGGGGTTGGCGCAATAATGTGGAGAGCGTCAAGGTGGAAATTTACTGGGCGATTTGAGTTCTTTTGCTTCGTTTGGGTGGCGCCTTTCCCTGAAATCAGCTCGTCAGTATCTATTAGCTCGGGTGGCGTTCTGGTAACGAGAAGAATGAGACATGATGGTTATGCTGGTCTTTATTTATTGCGTAGGCGTAGTTGCGTTGTCAGATCTGCTGATGTTCAGTGATGATTGTGATTCTGTTCTTCCATTGTTGGTACGACGCGGCAGGCGCGTGGCCCCATTGGATCGGCCGTTATGCATGGCCCCTCATTGGCCTGCAGCGAAGCGACGTGATGATCAGGCTAAGTACCTCCTTCCTGTCTGCGGTAATTTTCTTTCACCGAAAGTGTGCGCCTATTCCCCTCGAGGCCGTTTCATGATGGAGGCTTCCCGGATGCCTGATCAGCTACGGGAACTTGTGTCGGAACTGGATCGACAGGCTCAAGAGTGCACGAGACACGATACTGGCGCATCGGGAGAAGCCATCGAGGGGCTCTTCACTCTCCAAAGTCAAGGCGCCGACTATGCGCGCGCCCTCAGAAAGCTTCAGAGCTCAATTGCAGGTATGAGCCATGTGCACGTTTTCAACTGTCCCTCCATAGTATATCGCCGGGAGCTGACTTTCGCTGCTAGAATGCCTAGCAGAAAATAGAGATTGGTGCGCGATCACGATACCGGACGAGTCCCTTCTGTGGAAAGTCTGCGCCTTCTCACGGCCCTCGGCCCGAATCGCAGATCCTCTATTTATGCGACAAAAAACCACCACATTTCTCAAGCTGGTAGACAGACAGAACAACAATGATGATATACAAGGCATCTGGGAAAACAAAGTCATAGAGAATTGGGTTACCTCAGACACACCCTCGGCCCTATTCCTCGAGATCCCGTTTCGAGGGACTGGCCGAGTGCGGCGCTTCGCTTTGGACTTCATAGACCATCTTGATGAACATCATCCGGTTCTCTCTATGATTGGAGGGCTTTCTCAAGCCGATGCTGATCATCTGTTGCCTGATCCGACACCCAAGACGGTCCTCGAACATTTGATCGTTCAAGCGCTTCGCCATATCAATCCTGAGATTCGATTGGGTTTCTTTGCAGAGACCGTATCATCATTTAGATCCTCAACGACTGCTGGCGATCTATTAGGCCTACTAAAAGCCGTTTGCGCAAACATATCGAAATTAACAATTGTTTTCGATCTTTCAATATTTCCACCTCGACTAAATGAAGGCATGGACGCGGCAAGTTGGCCAACCGAGTTCTCTCGCCTCATCACAGGCCTATGGGATTGCTCCTATCCGGTGTTCTGTCACGTTTTGCTGCTTGGTTCTGTGCTCCCAACGGCGAAGATTGCCAGTGAGGGCGACGTTATTTCTGTGGGAATCTCAGCCATGGATTTCGGGACGTCTCGACGTCGGTTTCCCTTTCACCCTCCCAGACCTATACCCAAAGCTTATGAGGCTCCCAAACCGGCGAGGAGTCTGGACTCTCGCATCCTAAAGGCAACATTATCTCAGTAAGTAATGATGGAATTGAATTTCGAGGCGACGCGATTCATGCTGACGGATCTGTCTCCATAGCGAGGAACCAAAGCCAGTGGCAGTCTCACAAGTTGACCCGCAACCGACTTCGAACCGAGATCCCATCGTCCATAACCTCAATGTTCCTCATCCCGGTCCAGACTATGCATCTGCTGCGGCATCTCAGACAACATATTCGCGGGAACACGTTCGAGTGGCTATATACTGCGCGTTGCCATTGGAAGCCGATGCTGTTCAAGCGGTCTTTGATACATGTTTGGATGATGACGACATCGATCAAGAAAAGATGAGATCCTCGAGCGACACCAACTCTTATAACTTCGGTATCATCGGTCGACACTTTACCGTCTTAGTTCACATGCCGGGAATGGGAAGGACAAACGGTGCAATTGTCGCCACAAAGTGTCAAGCCAGCTTTCCGAATATCAAACTTGCGCTCGTGGTCGGCATCTGCGGGGGGGTACCTTTCTATGGCACAGAGAAGAAGGAGATCATTCTTGGAGACGTCGTTATCAGCGAGGGTCTATACGGTTACGACTATGGCAGTAGATTCCCAGACGAATTCGTAGTGAAGAACTCCGCGGACGACGTCTTTGCTAGACCATCGCCAGAGGTCAGGTCGATCCTTAGAAAGCTCAAGTCTCGTCATAATCACCGCAAACTCCAATTAAAGACACACGAGTATCTGCGACAAATCCAAAGGGATCCGGAAAACCGGGCGCACTATCCTGGCGCGAAAGAAGACCAATTATTCGCTGGCACATACGTTCATATGCATCGTAGCCCTGGAGAATGCAAGAAGTGCTCAGATGCAAATACGACTGCTCCAAGGGTTTGCCTAGAAGCCCGTAGCTCGACTTGTGGCAAGCTTGCCTGCGACAACGCCATGTTGATTACTCGGTCAAGACTGAATGTGATTTTGGACCACCCGGCTGAGGCCCGGCCAATGATACACTTTGGAAAAGTTGCTTGTGGTGATCAAGTCATGAAGTCTGGTAATCATCGAGATGCCATTGGTCATGAATCAGGAGCCATCGCCTTTGAGATGGAAGGGGCGGGGATCTGGGACTCCTTTTCTTGTTTGGTCATCAAAGGAGTTTGCGATTATGCTGATAGTCACAAGCACAAGAAATGGCAGAGCTATGCTGCTGCAACAGCAGCAGCCTGTGCAAAAGCATTTCTTCAGGAATGCTATATGTAAGCATCGACGAGCTTCGTCTTAGAATCCGTGCTTTGGGGCCTGATATTTGACTCAACCTAGGTGTACTGAATAAGTACAAAATTGCAATAGTGAAGCACCACCAGTTGCGTGAATTTTATCTCTGCTCCTTGTGTATGAAAGTGCTTCAATTTGGGCAAGCGGATGCAAAGTGTTCTGATTAATGTTTGCAGGGCAATGGCCAACACAAGACTTCATGCTCTCTATAATTTACATGTGTAGGTAAGTTAGTGCCTTCCATTTATTGATGACAAAATATCTTTAGTCAAGAGACGTTCCCCTCGGGTTCCCAGACGCTTGTTGTATTGGCATTCATCTGTAAAATGTGAGACAGTAAGTTCGAACCCCGTTGGGAAGGTATTGTCATATTTAACAAAGCGTCCCTGATTAGTGTCTGTATCCGACAGATAGATATGGAGCAGCGCGTTGTTAACCATGTCTTTATCTAGCGTTCCAGGCACTAAGTGTATGAGAAACACTAGCAAGCTTATGAATGCTTCGGGTAGGTTTCAAGTAAACTTAGAAGCCTTACCTTATGTTTAACTTCACCTCTTTATTAAGTATAAACTTAAGACTTTAATTATTTATGTATTATCCTTTATCCTATTAGTTATCAGTAGGCCACAGGCGAACATTGTACGTTTCCATATAATTATAGTAGAATGTCTTAGCTAAAATTTGAATTTTGCTGGAAAGAATAGTGTTCAAGTTGTTTAGGTAGCTTAAAGCCTATGCGCCTTGTATCGTAGCCTACCAGCATTCGATAGGATGATATTGAATCTCAAAGACAGTATGGATTAATTTCCTTTATCAGATGCAGTGGAACGGCTGACTATTGAAATCCTCAATGTCGTATCTAACGCTCGCCCCGTGCTCGAAGAAGACCATCCTGCGAGTGTCTATCATGGACTTCCGTCATATACCTGTCGAATCTATTGGCTTCAATGATTACGAAGCACATGTGGTCGTAGCCAAGGTTGCAGGGAATGTGAGTAGCTCGCTTTGTATCATGAAGGAGCGAGCCCTCAGCAGGGATTCGCATTTGGTACCTCATATTTGCTCATTACTGACTTATATCGGCCAGCCAGACATGATTTTGCTTCATTTCTGAGCCTTCAAGCCCGCGTGCTATGCCTTTGCTACCTTCACACTTTGTTTATGATGATAAAAAGAACCAATGCTACTCCCACTACCGGCTCAAATCATGGAAACCTCATGATGTTGACTTTCTTTACGAATGGACTGGTAGTGAACCTTCTGATGGCTTGTGCAGCACACGTTTTCCTCTCCTGCAACAACTGGCGATTCTTCGCGGGAGATTGTGGGGACCAGGGAACTAGAAGACTTAAGGCAAAGCTCGGCTGCACAAGCCGTGTATTTTGTTGAACCATCAGAGCCTAACGGTTTCACTAACTCCAGGAATATCAGTGATATTAGTTGTGCCTGGTGGATGATGAACCGAATAGTCGCTCGTTTTCCTGCCTGTTGACGAACGCTCCATGTGAGATGGGCTTCTGGGCAGCGAAGAATCTTGAGGAATTGGCCGAATCCACCTAATCTTGCGGTGGCCAAGTGGCGTATGCGCCGGTTCGTTCGTGAGCCTACTGTTGCTAGGCCGTTGCCCATCTTCGTAAGGCTCATAGTACCGATTATTCAACGCAGAGCTCGAAGGTCGATATGGACTGCCATCGTTCTCGGACAATTTCCGTTTCCTGCCAAACTGAGTCTGATAGCCATCTGTGGAGCAGTAAGACAGCTTATGACCTAGCTCAGCGAGTTGAGATGCTTGTCGAGTGTCGCCGCTAGTTGTCAGATCCTTGGAAATAGTGGAGTGCACTGGGAATCTTGAGCTGGTGTGTGTGAAAGTCGTATTATGCGGCTGATCCCTTCTCCCCGTTCTCGATTCAGGAATTTCATCTGATTCCAATACTTGTTCCGCTGGTAAGATGGCGTCCAAAAACAACTTGAAGGATGACCCACTAAAGTCCTTTCGTTCTTCAAAAGGTGCTCGGCGATCGAACCCTTCTTGCGCTGCAATTGGAAACGGAGGTGGTCGTTCGGATCCTCGGAACGGTCTTTCGTCAAGGGCAAGGGCATGCTTGAGCTGGAAATCTGCTCTCGTTATACGTCTGGTGCACGCCAGCTTTAGCGACTTGGGGCCGTACCTCCATCGTCGTTCATTGTCGTGATTTTCGTACTCGTCTTCTGGCAGACTGCCCTTTCGCAATCCGGCTTTAAGACAACGCGCTGTGTATTGGAAAAGTAAGTCTATCAGATCAAGTCTGCACCTGGATTCAATTTTAAAACTACTCACCAGGACGCTGCACGCGGGGATAGCTGAGACTGTATTGTATGATAAGAAACGAAGTGTTCCAACGTGACGCAAAGGATGAACCATCAGCCTGCCTGCATAAGCGGAGGCGCAGTCGCCGGCGCGGCTGAATTTCGGAGCACAGGGCGAATCAGATTATCTGGAGTTAACTCCATGTCCGGTGACGTCCGTCTACAGAATATTTCGACGAGAGTAGCATATTTCTAATACTGCGGCGGCGGCAGCCTCCATGCGCGAAGTCCATTTGCATGAATGTACATGTAATGGTAACGGTCCTATCACGTAATGGCACTTAGATAAGAATTAACGACTGCATACTTGGGTAATGTGTACACAAGGCCCTATTCCTGCTAGTACAAATATGCCCAAACTTGAAGTGTCTGGAGGATTCCCTTGTAACATGGTGAATATTGGATCTCGCTCGTTTGGCCCATATAATTCTTTCTTAGACCGCCGACGCACTTCCTCTTTTCCTTGGATACCTAGTGCGTCCAACACAACGGCTAAACCTCTGGTGTGCGTGACTCTGCCCGGCCACCAGAAGGTGGACCAAAATTACTTGGTCCATGCTAATCACCAAGCTCTTGCGCCTCTCTGTGCCTTTGCTACATTACCTGCTGCTGAGCCCTCCGTCGAGCGAGAACGTTCGATATTTGGTCCTTGGCATCTATCATGCACTGTCGCTTAAACTCCTCCATCTCAGCACGCGGGATGTACTCTACGCTCCCAACGTAATTTGCGGCAAAACCTTTGGTTTGCCATCATAGTTTGCCATTTTTTGCATTTTGACTTGGTTTGTGAGGGCTGTGCGTCTAGTATCTGCCTCCGAAGCAATCATCCCCCATTCCAGGTTTCCTTCATGCTTCTTTCGAAGGAAATAGTCTCTGACCATGGCGTCGGTCTAAAAACCCATATTTTCAGCAATTGCAGACCAGTTAGTGGCAAATGTCCTTGACAGTTCCGGAAACCTATCAAACTCGGACACACTCCACTAGGTGCTCGCTCTAATGCTTTGGCCACCCTCTATCTCTGATTGAAATCTAGATGTTGCCCGACCGAACCGGGCAAGTAGGGCGGACTGCCGAGAGCGCTCACCCCCGGCATAATCCCGTGAAATTGTAGTATGAGTTATGGCAGCTAGTTTGGCGGTGAAACCTGGCTTTGACTTTGCGTAAATCGTTGAAGTGAATGGTTCGAGATTTTGCGATCGCACTGGGAGTCCCGCGCTTCCTCGTACCTTCCCAACGGTCTTTAAGCCTGCTAACTACTTTTATTGTGTAAATTGAAGTTACGTGGTAGGATCTGGAGTCATAACTTCCTTGAGCTTCGCTGAGGGAACCTGTGTTGGATGCGCCGGCGTTCTGCAAGGTCTTGGGTCTCGGGCTGGCGTTCGGCCTTAGTCTGGTCTTCGTCTGTGTCACAAAGAGGGTGCGTAACAAACTCGAAGGGAGCCATCGCAAGGAGCCAAAATATCACGCTAGTCGAAACGTACTCTGTTGGCGTTGTTGAGGGCAAAGGATTCCAGTAGCCAGCCACAGCCTGCCACGCGTTTGCGTTCTTCTTCAGGTTGCAAAGGCTGACAAGGTTTTCGTTGGTCCGGCGGCAATAGTCCAATCGAATTGTGCCGAGACCGCATACGCCGCAAGTTGAATTGAGGCGTTATTCCACGAACTGATTACCCAGTTCTGAAAAATGGACATAAAATTTGATCTTTGCGGTCCAACTCCAAGCATACCAACCATCTTCTCGATCTTTCTGTTCTAGGTAATCGACCTTGGTTCTGTGTTACCTGATCATATGGTCCTTGCTTCTTTTGTCCTTGTAGATGATCAAAGGCTTCACCAATCCATGGCTATGGTCAAAAAGCGAAGGCTCAACCAAACAGATACAAACTTTTGAGAAACGAGGAATTGGAAAAAGCACAGAATCAATCATTGTCTCACGTGAATAGTCTGTCTCTGACCACCTCAGTGATAAGACCCATATCATATGCCTTTGGCTCAACATCCGAGGAGTCTCATCAAATTCTCTTGCCATTTCCCCATAGAGTCGTTTACCTAGGTACTATCCAAGGCTACCCGTTGATCTCAGCTGCGCAACATGGCATCATCTGGAATCGTCACAATCTTATGACCATTTCCTCTCCGGGAATGTCACCACTGGATGTGCTGCGCGTGGGATCCACAAAACCACCTGTATGACCGCCAGATCCCTTGTCTACCGGCAGACCTCCTGAGTAAGGAGGCAAATAAGACGCACGAGGTTGCCTATTTCGCTCGGGACCTTCAAGAATACTTATCCCGCCGATCGATTGATGATCCAACCTACGGCGCGGTGCGAGATTAGGAAATTGATCTAGGTCTTGGTCATTTCCAGATCTCCTTCTTTTCCTGCCAGTATGACTTTGATAGCCGTCTGTTATGTGAAAAGCCAGCCTTTGACCAAGTTCGGCTAACCGAAATGCCTGTCGCACACCGTCGCCAGCTGTCAGATCCCTCGAAATAGTGTGGTGTACTTCTGATTTTTTGGGATCACCTAAATGGTATTGCGCAGGGTTACCAGCTCTTTGTGCGGGATAGCCGACAGAGCGAGGCGGATGGTCGTAAACGACTGAGTTGCTGCAGAGGCGGCCATTGCGGGAGCGGTCACAGAGGGTGGGTGTTTGATTCTCGCTTCGCCGGCCGTCTGGGTAGACGTCAGTGTAGACGTTTAAAGTGCACATGGTGTCCGGTTGGGATGCTAAGCTGTTGTTCCTAGGACACTAGATAATATCTCACGAAAGTGAGACGGATGTGAATTGCTGAGACCTGTGATCGTTTAAGTTACGGCTAACAGCAAGTTCATGATATGGCTCCTACTTCAGTCCTTTTCCGCGTGAAGGCTCTCAGCCTTAGGGCGAGCGATAGCACAGTTTATTCTGGGATTGAATAAGGATGATGAGATTGTTACTTGGTCAAAGAGATCGCACCTAGCAGTCTTCTAGCATTATCAATCATTCGAATTTCATTGAAATCATTATAGTTGCTAGACGTAGTTGTTTAGCGTGGTTGTGGCAGAAATTTGGTCATGTAACTAGGTTGCAATGAGAAATGGATCTTGGAAACACGGTGTGGTCTTGACAAGTGGTCAGCTGAGTCTGGGACTCGGCTGGGGCGCAGGCGGCTAAATGGCGGCAGGTACAACGAATCAGGTTTGAACACGAAGCTGAGGGTAAGATGAGAATGCCTACGTAAAAGGCAGACATCTTATCAGGCAAGCAAAGAAATGCAAGTAATCATCTTACGTGATGATCGACGTAGTTGCACGTAGGAAAGGCGTACGAACCTTTCCCTTCTTTCAAGTCATGTTAGAAGGCGACCTCACCTGGCCACAAGTCCTGGCACTCTGGGTACGTTTGATGTCTCAAGGAGTCTTTAGCAATATATGCTCGACTTTTCGCTTACCGATCTTAGGCTTACCGATCTTAGGCTTACCGATCTTGGGCTTACGTTATGTCCGGCGGCCAGCAACTTCGCTAGACTTGGACGCTACATCGCCATGGAACGTCTGGGCCCCCGTTATGTAAGATCACGGGTTCTGCGCGGGCGATACTGTGTGCTACATCGTCGGAATTGGAGGCGATTGGGGATTTGTTGCTGTCGAAAAAGGTGCCCAGCCAGCGGTTCGATTCTTGGTTTGCGTGAAGTAGGTTAGAGTGATCTTGGGTAGCGAACTCTCTATCTCAGCCAAGGTGCGCTCCTAGTGGACGCCCCACTCGTTGCGTCTTGCTCCAGGTATGTGGAAAAAAGCCGGTTGAATTACTGGTATGATGTTTGAGGCCGCATTAAGTAAATTGTTTCCGTCCAAAAGTTCGCAGTTCGTGATTCGTCCTCTATCTCTACATCATCGGCCCCTGTGTCCTCGGAATCTGTACGCAGTGAGGACCTGCATGTTGTCGGGGAAGTTCATCCCCAATTGAGTACACAATTGCAGGAGCAGCGAGATCCGGGCGCTCGTCAGCTCTGGACAGTTCTCGGCTACTTATCCCCATCAGCGTCGTCCCATGTTGACCTCCAGTCCCATCCTTCGAACGCAAAGGTTCTTGAAAACTATGGGATCGCATGATCCCGTGGCTGACGTCACCTAGCTCGTGAACCGAGTGATGAATTGAGCTACGATATGAGACTTTGCGACCGTCTTGGATATTTCCGCTCTTTTCATTGTACTAGTCTCTTGATGCGAAGCTAGACTGGACAAATGAGTTGCGATTGTGAGACCTCTTCCTTTTCTTGCTATCGTGGCTCTGCTGAATATAAATCGGGTCGCGGGATAATCTTTGACCCAACTGGGCTAGTTGAGATGCCCGGCGTACACTGTTGCTAGCTGTGAGGTCTTTGGAAACGGTTGAGTGGACTGTGGGCCGCGACTCGATCTTCTTGGTTCGGACATCCTTCTTCCCTTCTAATGATTTCTTCCCCAATTTGCCGCCTGGAGGCGCACGATCTCTTGAAATTGTCGAATAATTGACATGATTGGATCTTACGGGGGGTCTTTGTGCGTCGGCGCCATGCGACAGGTCGAATGGTTTTGGCAATGGCTCTTCGCTGTCAGAATCGCTGTAGGTGTCTAGTGGCTCAAGGGCGGCAGCGTGGGCGATTTCTGGCTCTCTGCCATTTCCGAGATGGGCAACCAAAACTGCATCGCCAACAAGAGGTTCGACCTTGCGCCGACCATGAGGGGGTCGACCATGAGGGGGTCTTCCAAAAATGGGCGGAGGGCTAGGAAATGGGAGAAGCTTAGGTCTATGAGGCCGCATCTGGGGACTGTCACGAGGCAGAACATCGTCGGGGTCGTAGCAATCAGCGGCTGAAGGCTGGCGGAAAGATCGAGTATACGGGAGTGCCCTTATTGCCGAGATGCTTGTCCCAGGGCGGTGTGGTCGATGATGTGCTGCAGTTGGGGGAATCTTGTCCTGGAGCATTGTCGCAAAGACTGACGTTGACAGCACCGTGACAATTTCACAATATGATCATTGGCAGGTGCTCTTTTACGATTGCACGTTTTTCGGGAGTGACAGACTGTCAACCTGGACAGCTTATCACATGACGTGCCAGACCTTCGTGGCTCCTTCGAATTGCAGGGTGGAAGATTTTGGAATGTCAGACGATAATTTCTATTTCCCATTGGTCAGTGGGGTAAATTGGTCTTCCAATGCTGGACGCTCATTGTCAGCCAGGCTGCCGGTGTGTAGCGCGGGTTATTTAATTTTTGATCCTCACGTGCACTCACTACCGCTATCAGCACTGTTATTTTCTAAAGTAGTATGGTGTTACGCACGAATACAAGAGAAGACTGAAACCGTCAATTCATTTAAGGAGCTTAATTTGCTCAATACCTCACTTGAGCGATGTCAAACGTCTCAAATTCCTAGTTCAATAAGAATAAGAGTGGCTTGTCTCGAGCTCGAAGTAAGTATGAAATGCCCGAGGTTGGCAAGAAAGGAGGTCCAATAACAGTGTAGGAGAGTCGTCACTAGCTATATCATGTTTGAGATGGAAGAAGACTGCGCAGTGGTATTCCATAAAGTCTCATTGGGCCTTCCATTTACCGCTCCCTCCTACCCCTCCTAATATCGTCCGCCGTATATCCTTGGCTCAACTCCTTCATGTATTCATCAAACTTGCTGGCCTCGCCAATCACACAAGCTATATGCTCATATCCAAGACGCATCTTGCGATATACAGCTAATTGTCGTGCCGTGGAGATGACGTTTCGAATCTGTCGACCGTTCAGATTCGCCGTCGCAAGCTCTGGGAGATGCTGACGAATTTCCTCCGAGTTGATACCAACGTCCTGCTGAAAACTGCCGTTACGCTTGGAATTACCTGAAGAAGTGATTCTATGCCTGTCCAGCGTCTCAATACGGTCGATAAAGTTGGTCCAAATCTGAAGGCGTTGCTGCTCGTTCAGATTCTTATACCTGAGATTGAGCTGAATACGAGATTTGAATGCTTCATCAAAAGTCCCAACCCGGTTACTTGTTAAGATCAGAATTCCTAGAGGGCGTGTAAGAAACCAGCGACTAAAATGAAATGGTATGCTGTGAGCTCCTTACCGTCGTAATATTCTAGCACCCGAAGAAACACTGGGAATAGTGATTAGCCAAATGCCGCACATATCTAATTCCACATGGCCTGTCCTACCACCTCCCACTAGCGGACAAAGCATGTCTGAAAGTGGACCTACCTGATACGAGAGCATTTCTTTCAAGATTCTTTAAAGTACGCTCCTCCAAAAAGACATCTGCTTCGTCCAAAAGAACCACTATGAAGACAGGCTCATGAATAGATGAAACGGCAGTACAGCTGGGCAGGCCTTACCGCAACCCCAAATCTTGCCGAGCAGCAGGACAGTGTCCAAGTACTGAATTACGTCAACAACGTAATCAATATGTCTCTGGCACTCATACTCACTTTCTCAACCTCTTCCGCCTTAGTCCCAATGTCCCCACATGTAACTCTGTACAACGGTTTTTTTGGCAATTTCAGCAACACTTCTCATATCAGTTTCATAGTTCATTTCTAACAGACTCAAGGATTTCAAATACCTTTCAGCTGTCAAGGTTTTCCCTGTGCCAGGACCACTTTTTGTAACGGTTAGTGGGTAGGACGTAGAAAGATAGGTAGCCAAGACAGTCGCACCCATGGAGCAAGATGAAAAGACCATTGCCCTTTCCGCGAATAAGATCCGTGTTCTCTTCGGCCCTTAGCTGAGTGGTAACCACTGCCTTAACCAACTCTTTGGTCTCCGTATCTATAACCAAGTGCTCGAAGGCTTGATCATTCCATTCGACGTCATTGATGAATTCCACATCCAAACTGACTAGTAGTAATCAGTAAGCATGGTAAATCGTACATTTTCAAGTCGAACTTACCCCATTCCTTCTTTTGCATATTGAATCCCGGTATTCTTGTGGGAAGGCACATGAAGAAGGCATTGTCGTCATGGTCAAAATCGCCGTGCGTAATCTCGTATCCAGTGTGGTCATCACTAATTGGCTCTTCACTAGGGTGCATTTGACTGTATGTGCGGTAGTCTACCATGAACCGTGAATCGGGCTGCAGTACTTGAGTTAGCAGCAATCAGGAATACGTCATTGAGGCAATACTCTACCGAAGCTTTCAAGCTGTCATCCGAGAATCGAGAAGAGGACACATAATTGCGATGCCGACACTTCCAGAACATTCTTCCACGTTCCTCCAACGCTTGGACAGTTTCTGAGGTGGCATACTCTATCGGGTAAACGGACATAAGGTCGGAAACCGCGAAGGAACCATCTACGTCACATTCTGGAAGCTTGTCGATTATAATCTTTTGCTGAACTTGGTGGAAAGTGCCCCTGAACTCCCAGGTGCTGACAGGGATAACTGCTTTGAATCCTTGCGCAGAACTGGGCAAGATCTCAAGCCAATGGGTCGCAATAACTCCTCTGAGTTGGTGCTGATTTGAGCCCTCCATCTTGGAAATCAAGACTTTGTTTGGTACCTAGTGAAGTAAGCATGTGAGGCTCGGGGGTACGTGTCGACATACGAAAAGATATTGGATGTACTCAGCAGTGATCCTACCACTGCCCAGCAATGATTCTACCATGCCCCAATCTTTCGCCAAACGACCATGTATATACTGCTGAAATACAGCTAGATGCTGTTTTTCTGACTGGGGGAGAGTTTCAGTAAACTCTTCAATGTCGTGTCGACGATGAAACCACCAGAGATACGGATAAGCAATCTTGTCATCAAATTGTCTGTTGAATTTGGGATGTGGGATGCCGACCAAGACACGTTCTGCTACCTCTCTCAGCCTATCTGAGAGCTCCTCAGAGATGAGACTGATGTGTTCGGCCTTCAGAAAGCTTGAAGGATCGGAGTCGAGAAGACTCGTCACACGTCCGTGATAGTTGAAGTCTTTGGGAGGCGGAACTCCGCAACATTCGAAGCGGCGGTAGACAATGAACGTGGTCTCCTTGTTCCTCTCCAGGTGTAACTCTAGATGAGGAACGGCGTGACTCCCTCTCAGGTGAGCATTGAATGGGCCGCTCTCTACCACCCAGGGCTCGTCAAGGTAGAGATTCTCTGTTCTGGCATGGTGGCAATAGATTTTGTAGATGATTTCGCATTTTGGCGGACCTTGTTGTTGTAGAACCCTGTATTTCAGCCTCTCCGAGTCCCTCAGTGAATCTGAAGCGGATTCCATCGCCTCCAAAAGTTCATCATCGGGGGTATGTGGCGATACATCTAGGAGACGACACATCTCGCGGCGCCAATCAATCGTGGTATGGGGACGATATCTGGGCTGCTGCTCCGATGCTTCTGAATCTGCTGTCTCAGTCAGTCGGCTTCATTTGTTCAGACCCAAAAAGATCACAATCACCTGAGGCTCGGCCATCGGCTCTCCTTTCGCCACTAGACGGCGAGGAAAACCGCGATGGCCCTGGGTGAGTGGACGCTCGCTGAGCCTGACCTTGAGCTGTATGACTTCGCTTCTCATGATACGACGATTCATGACGATTCGATGGGCGCGAAACCCGAGGTCTCTTTCGAGATCTGTCTATGCCCGCCATATTGAACGATGGATTGTAGACGACACGATGTCAACAGATTGTGCGCGGATGTGCAGCCTGATGGTTCCGTTTTTGCGGAAACTGCTGATGTGTTGGTGTTACTGGATGGAACTGCAGCCCGAGCCTACTTGTCATGGTGGCCCCCCATAGGACAACTTGCCGAGACCCGCCATTGTGCCGCATGACTGCAGCAGTGCCTTGCCATCGAGATGCGGACCAATAATATCGCCAGATTGCGGCAGAATGTTATTCGCCGACGCTGCACAAGAGTGACACATTCGTTTCATGAACGGCAGTACTGTCAGTCTCAGCAGCATTCAGTAAGTTAACCTTATGCCGGCAGGTGCAGGTTTGGATATGACCCTCTTCCTAAGTGTTGTACGAGGTTGACCATCCGGACGGACAATTGCAGTTAGCTGCACAACACACTAATTATGACGATTCACCAAGGTATTTGGTATTAATTTTGGTTTCGTTAGGCCTGTTACTGTCCTCACTGCCTTCCCCAGCGTTGGCTGCATCGTCTTTCAAGCTAAACAATCATAACCTAGGTAATCTACCAGGTAAGCAAAGCTCCATCACACACATACAGCACCATGGTATCTACATTTGGTATCTTGCGTTCGATTCTCGGGTTATGAGCCTACGGAAATTCAAAGCAAAACAAACACCTGTGGACTTATGCATGACGAGTCTTTATTCAGTCTAACACAACCTATGAATGGCTTGAGTGTTCGTGGACAATGCTCAGCATCAAGAACATGATGTTTTGTTTCTTCCTTTCTGGCCTCACTGCCCTGCTTCGGGCCAGGCTGATTGACTATGGCTTCAGCTCGCACCGTATACAGCTAATTCCCTCGCAAAGATACTGTGAATCTAGCTTTCGGGTCCCCCTAGAACGGCTCGCAGTCTTTGCAAGGGCCCTGGAAGTTGGCAACGGCTCCAAGGCAGGCAAGGTCAGCCACCGGGTCTGGGATATGTCAGCTTCTAGTCCAACAACGGAGAAATGACGGCCTACTCAGAAACAGTTCGTCCACAGCAGCTGCGCAAGTTGGAATAACAGCAGCGAAAGCTCCGATGCAAGCTAGGGAGAAGCTTTGGTGAGTATCACTGTCAAAGTTTTCGGAAGCCAGAACTTACACCAGACATCACAGCCTCTGGCTTCGTGGCCTCGAAGTTTGGTGATGGCGTTGTTGCAGGCACCAAGATCGTTGGAAGTCTCGCACTGGTACTGCCTCTGTCTCTTGGAAAGACTGGCATCAGCGTTTCCCTCGGAAGGTGCGGCGGCCACCAAGGGCATGGCGATGGCCAGGAGAGCCACGGCGTTGAAGTTGATCTGCATGATGGCGAAAGAAAGGAGGTTTGAGATGAAGTTTTCAATTCAGTGAGACCACAATGTTTTGATGCAAGAAAATAGGTTGATCATCATGGAAACTTCCGGAGTATTAATAGTTGTCAATGTCGGAGCAAAGACTTGACCTCAGGAAGCGGGCTCTTCGGATGAAAACGCACAATCTGATTTGGATCACAAAACTCGGCATCTTGGCATAATTCCAGAATGAGGCTGATTAGCTCGTGTTCAGCCGACTGATCGCCAATCACAGCCTGGCATTTGTGCCCGAGAAGGAAGAATGGGTTGGAACGATGTCTGATCAGGCTGAGATGGTCTCTGAACTAGACCGATTTGGATGCCACGGTTGATAAAACAAAACTCTCTTAAATTCCCACCGCTCTAAGCTTGCTTTGCAAACTTTCCGCAGTATCCGTTTCGGGTTCACTTGGTAGGCATTACACCGCTTCTTAACCGACTCTGGCTTTGTCGTTCGATCTGATTGTTGATCGGCGCTCTTGGCGACGTCTCCGTATTTCATTATTGTCATTCCAAGGGACGTGTTGAACGTGGTGGGATGCCGTGAAGGGAAACTAGCACAACTATAATTAATTAAGACTGCACGGGCCTTACCCGACATACTCCAACCAATCAGGCTTTCTGTCTCTCTTGTGAGAAATCTAGAAACTTTCGAAAGTCTTCAAGTTGCCTTCTGTTAGATCCAACGCCGCCAATGCACGATTGGGTCCGTCGGTGAGACTTGATAGTTGCCGTCGATGACTTGGCGCCAAGGGACGTCTCGGGCTTTCTCTCCAGATACTACTTTCACTCGGAATTCTCGGAGGCGAGATGTGAGTTTTCCGAGTCATGATTTCCCGGCCAAAGCTTCGAGTAACGCATGTCGAGATGACTGAACAGCCTGAGGATGGCGTGAAGTAGAAACATCTGCGGAATTATCCATGTTTGAGGTGCATATAAAAGGATTACCTCTCACCAACTTCGTAACCAAATCTTGTCAACCAGCCCAAGCCGCCAACTCATTCTCTATCCCTTATTACTTCTCTCCATCCCATCTTCAACTCTAAAATGAAGTTCAACATTGTCGGTCTCGTTGCCGCGGCATGGTGGGAATGCACCCCGCAATAGAGAATAAAAAATATGCTGACCAATTCCAAGGATGCCGCTCGCTGCATGCCAGTTTTCTTGCCACTGCCAGATCGCCAATAACGGAAATGCCGTCATTGCTGCTATTCGACTTTGCGATGAGGTCGGCGGAACAATCTGCTACAACTCTGCCGGAAATTACAATGTTGTAAGTTTCATCCTGGCAATGCGCAGACTTTGTCACCTCGCCTTTCCATGAAAAAAGGCGTCAGTGCTAAGAAATCTCTTTGAACAGTGCAAGACTAGTGCCGCGTGGACCGATGAGCAGTGCAAGAACACGTTCCAGGGTATTGACCAGCCGAATGAGAGATTCAGGGCTGTTTGCACCGCGTACAACGGCGGAGGATGCCCTGCGTAGTTTGTTGTGCCGCGTAATAGTTGGTCTACGGACTTGGAAACCACGCCTTGCCACTAGGTCGTTGCATGAAAGCAATAAATCTTGAATTGGCAATACATTTCTATGCTTGAAGGCTCATTAACATGCCCGGTCCGTTGCTGTTATTCTGGAATGTGCACATATGGTGCTTGCAGATTGGAATGATGCCACAAAACAGCGTTGAATCTTCCGATAGATAACCACATAGAACCTAGACGCTGTTTGTGATACGTGGCAAAGATCTGTAGCTATTCCAATAATACCCATGCTTTGTCTTCCAAAACTTCCTAGTAATCTCCCCAAACCTTGTCCCATGTTCTCAGGATTACATTCTTCTTCACAAGCTCTTCGTTTCGATGCTCCTCCTGCAGATCTTCTTCCCAGAGGCGGCACTCATGATCAACTGCTTGCTTTCGTCCGTCGGCGTAAATGTCCACAGATCCGGGATCAACAAAGCTTGTGCGCTTGTATATCTTCCAAAACACGAACATGCCAACAAACCAACCAAGACCAAAATAGCTTGTAATGAACCCTTTTGTAGACCACGGGGAGAATATGTCGAACCCAATGAACAAAGAGATAATCGAACCCAGGATCATGCACAAATAGGGAGTCCAGGAAGCACCGGGTGCAATGTAGGGGAAGATGACTGTCTCCGTCTGCGTGACCGATTCCGCGCTGTTGTCTCTGTCAAGTAATGAGGCCAGCCAACTCTTCTTGCTCGTGCTGATTTGGCGAATTCCTTGGGCTTTCAAAGCTCGGCGCCAACCAAGAAAGACCCAGGACATGCAGGTGAAATTGACGACCAGTGAGACGGTTGTCAACTCCAAGAACCAAGAGAATACCTCACTTGCTTCGTTCGACGCAACCAAAAATGACAGAAGAGAGATGAGAGTGACTGCTGTCACACAGACCCATGGTACTCCGCTCTTGGTGCATCTCAGAAAGATCTTGGGTGCTTGTCCATCCTGAGCAAGAGAGTAGAGGGTGCGGCTGGATGAGTAGAGAAAAGCGTTTCCGCAGGACCAACCCGAAAGTAAGATGAGAAAGTTGATGAGTCCTGGCAGAAACCCTGAGATGCCATGGCTGAGGAGTCCCAAAACCCATGGCGACGCAGCGGCTCCAGCATCGCCGGAATCGATCGCGCCCAGGAGGCGTTCATCGCGCGAATTGCATATTATGCCAACCGCGAGAATACCAAATATGTAGAAGAACAGGATGCGGTTGATGATCATCTTGGAGACTCGTGGAATGGTCTTTCGCGGGTTCTGAATTTCTCCAGCTGCGAGAGAGATGGTGTCTGGGCCACCGATTGTGAAAGCAGCGTAGCGCACTGAGATGCAGACGCTGAGGAAAACGCCAGTGGCTCCATCTGCATAGTAAGAGTGTACGAAGTTTCCATTAGACCAGTTTCGAAAGCCATAGGCATCGTGCTTCGGATTCCCGCCCACCATAGTAATGAACGTCGCCATCATAAGGCCGAGAAGCAGGAGGACCTTAGTCGAGCCCATGACAAACTCACTTTCGCCGAACCATCTGTCAGGCTAATTAGCAAATAAAGTTTCTCGTGTCAGAATTTCACCGTTCTTCACTTACTTGACAGCTGCCATGTTCAGGAAGTAGCATACTGCCAGAACCAAGGCAATCCACACTGCTGGGTTGACGTCGACGTTCCAATAACCCATGACTGTGGCGACCGCTGAATATTCCGTGCAAACAAGCATAGCGCCGGCGAAGAAATAGGTCCATCCCATGGCGAAGCCGAGTGCAGGATCCACGAAACGAGCGGCAAGCTCGTAGATTGAGCCTCTGATCGGCAGCCAAGCCACCATCTCAGCAACGTTCAGGGTGGTGGGCCATATGAACCCCACGCCGTAGATGATGTACCCGACAATAAGAGGCAGGGGTCCCGCCTTGGACAGGACGCCGCCCACGCCCACGAAGAGGCCGACGCCAATGCCTCCGGCAATTGTCATGAGCTGAACATGGCGTGGAGAGAGACCCCGTTGTGTTTGGGGAATCGTGGCCTCGGATGTTTGGCCCAAGCGGGTGGATGAGCTGTCATCTGCGATGGCGTCTTTCACTGCCGGTCCTGCCATTCTCGCAGATGGATTTGGCGAGGAGGGTCGCTGGCATACGGTAATCAAAGAGAGAAATTTAAAAGAGCGGCATAAAATCCAAGCGTTTGGGAGGGGCTTTACAAGCGATGCGACTCTTAAGTTTTAGCTAACACCTGTTGCGATGGTGGCAGTGGCCAACTTATGAGAGAATCCAGGCAAGTACCGTTCATTCCCACAGCAAGAATCTGTGATACCGTATATCGGATGAGCCTTCCTATCTCAAGTCGTGACCCATGACAACACCAACCGACCTATGCATAACAACTAAGATAACATATCACCCGATATCATCACAGCACTTTTATCTCGTGTGACCTCTGCTAGAATGCGATAACACAGTAGCAAGACGGAGGGGTCCATTAGCATCTGGAGTGGGGACGCAAATTGGCCAGTTGGAAGTGGGAGCTGACGACCCCTGAAGATTAGATCGTATTCGATTTCCTAGTTGGGATAGCCGATAAACCACGGCTCAGATCGTATTCATCCGCCTCTTATGGAAAGCAACTAGACTTGGCACAAGCTCGGAGTTTGACTGCCGTTGATTTTGAGGATGCTCAGTACGCAATGATTGTGAGAGCGAGTGACGGCTTGGACAAGTTGCCGAGGAGGGGAAATGACACACGCGCGTCGCAAGACAGACAAGTCAGCGTGCAGGCGAACGCCGATGAAATAAATTAAAACATGTGTTGCCAATGTGTTCTGCAGAACTCATAATTACCTGTTTGATTCCGAATACAATTTGATTTTGTTCTTTGCTGTATCGAGAGTCGCCGCTGGGCCAGGCAAAAATATGGCTGATACGAGAACTCGGAAGGCGAAGGACCGGCTCTTGGCTGTCGCCAAAGGCCCCCAACCGTCAGACTCAATGCCGAAAGACTTCATTGAGAGACTGAGGGCGTGCCTTGAGGCTGACCCTCTACTTCCGAGGCCTAATCCATCGATTTCACTCTGGCAAGAACCCCCCCATCCCACCTTGGCAACTGTTCAGTCCCCCAATCTCCCTAGCTACGCCGGCTTTGTTGTCCTAGGCTCAGGGATCACTGGATGCAGCGTCACAAAGAGCCTATTAGAGAACGATATATTAGGCTCCGGTGATAATCCAAGCCAAGTTCTTGTCCTAGAAGCCCGGAATCTTTGCAGCGGTGCTACGGGCCGTAATGGGGGCCAGCTCGTCAGTCCCGTCGGACATACGTTCGCGGGTTTGGTCGAACGCTTTGGCAAAGCGACTGCGATGGAGATGGCTCGATTTAGCCTCATGAATATTGAGCGCGCGATGGACATGGTAAGACATATGGGACCGGAGATCCAGACAGAGAGCGAAATTCGAGATCTGGTCAAAGTTGGGTACCTGAGACCGAGTTCGCGTGGCTTGAATCACTGAGCTCGTTGGAGGAATTCCGCAAAGCGTTTCCAGAGCACAGATATCTTCACAAGGTTTTCGAGCAGGAGGAGTTGGCCAAGGTTTGTCTTCTACACATCAATCGATATTGACGATCACAGACACTGATGAATGTTTTCTCAGGAATGGAATGTCAAGGTTGGATGTGGCACGATCATTCACAAAGCAGGTGCCATATGGCCATATCGATTGATTACTGGAATCTTTCAAAGTCTTCTGGGCCAGTATCCCAATCGCTTGTCTATCGAAACGAACACTCCAGTTACCGCCATCTCCCAGTCTTCCTCTTCTCCAGAAGAGACAGCGAACTCGATCTATCAGTACGAGATTACAACTCCTCGAGGAACTGTGCATGCAAGACAAGTTATTCACTGCACCAACGCCAACGCTTCGCATCTTCTCAAGCCTCTGAGGGGTAAGATGTACCCATACAGAGGCACGATGTCAGTCCAGAAAGCCGGCAAACATCTGGAGAATGTCGGGAACAGCGCCTCCTGGAGCTTGCTGAATAAGTCTACGTTGGATCACAACACAGGATTGTATGATGGTGGCCTGTACTACTTGCAACAGAACGTGTTGACGGGAGACATTTGGGTTGGAGGGGGAAGCTCGAGCATTTTCGGCACACTCTCGTCTGATGACACGTCGGTGCCCGGCCAGGCTATGAAGGATCTGGCGAGGTTCCTTCCTAATTACTTTTTCAAGGGATGGCCCCAGGGAGAGGAACCCGAGATCCGGGGGATGTGGACCGGACTTCAATGTCATACATCGGATGGGTTACCCTTGATCGGAAAGATCCCTGGGTCCGCTTCAGGTCGTAAGAGTAGCACCGCCGAGTGGATTTGCGGAGGATACAATGGATACGGTATGGACAAGGCCTGGCTACCAGGCGAGGCACTTGTGAAGATGATTGCTGGCGAAGGTGTGCCTGAGTGGCTTCCGAAGGCATTTTTGCTCACAGAGACCAGATTTGAGCAGGCCTTGACCCTCGAGAAAGCACTGGATAGATGGGTTTCGTTAGCACGAGAGTCAAATTAGTTGGAAGCGTCAATTTGGGACATGTTAAACCAAATAGCGTGTTGTTTATAAATTGGGTATCTATCCAAAGAGGGTGCTCAGTCTTTTCTCCACGCAAACGTCCAACCAATACACATTCTTCTTCCCCGAATCTAGCGCTGCCCAAGTGTGATATACCAACTCCGAGATGTTCATCACCTTTCGCAAAGGCAGGACATCACGGTACGCTGAAAGCCTTGCTGTAATGAAGTTTCGCGCGGTTGCTATTCTTATTGCGTCATTGCCATGCAATCGAGCTTCCTCGTTATCAGCGTCCATCGAAAGGACTGCTTGAGTGCCAACGCGAAGTTCGCCGGCAACAGCTACGAAGATGAAAGGCTGAACACATCGAGTTCGAGACTCGAACGGAATGTCTCGGAGCAGATCAAGTGTATACATGGCCAAGCTCGTCAGCCATGCGTTTCTCTCTGTTTCTGTTGGCCTCTTGCAGGGTGGTGGAGCGTCGTAGAGGTCAACAGCATTCCATGGGTTATATCTGTCAGACAACAAGTCTGGAAAGACGCGATATAATTGCAGCAGTCCTGAACAGATATAGGCTTCGTCTAACTTGGACAGATGAGTCAGAGTAGTTCGCGGATCTTCCGGATCGACCATTTCGGAAATTTTGGGTCTCTTGTAAGCTAGCAGTCTCCGTTCGACTTGCCGAGCCTGTCGGATATCCTTTCTGAAAGAGTCGAGAAGTTCTTCTGAGATAAACCTGTTTGAAGCTTGTTTCCTCCGGTGGTCATGAATCAGTCTTCCCACGCGGGCTAACAAACTCATCGTATCATCGGATATGCCTGTGAAGGGGTGGGGTAAATTCCCACACGGTTGTGGAGGGCCTATGAAGCCAGGTGAATCAACTGTAGTTGAGCAGGTTTCAATGAAAAATGATAGAAGCAACTCCCAGTACTCGACTGCAGATTTGAAGAAACGGAACGTAGTAGCCGTCTTGGAATCTGGCACCCAGTTTCGGAGTGTGTCTTGCGTGATTGTGAACTTCTCCAATTCCAGGTCTGAAGGGTCATGCCAGCTTGCAGTGTGTCCCAGCAATAATCCAGACATGAGATTGATGTCTTGTTGGTGCCAAACAGAAGATGTATACCCGTTATCGAAGCCTTGAAGAGCAAGATTCCTCTCCCTTACAGCGACACAGCCGAGTTCAGGGAAGCTTTTCATCAAGCAAGCGGCGGCCATACTCTGCATTGTATGGAAGAGTACTTCCGACGATTGCCAAGAGCTCTCCATCAAAATACGCATGTAGTTATGCTTGCTATCCCAAGTACAATAAAGTGGTATCACTTCTTGCATGAAATAGTCTGACAGAGCCGTGGGGAGGGTGGTCAGTCTGCGGGGCCAGCCTAGCGGATTCTGAGAAACGCTGTCTGAGCTTTGGAGAAGATCGTCAGGCTCTGAAAACCGATGGCCACTTGATGGATCTTCATCCGGGACCTCCACAGACATGAAATCTAGACTGCCCGTGTAGTTGAAGTCGGGAAACTCGAATGGAGATAACGACGTCGAGAACTGATGGTCTGAGCTAACCACATCATCTACTGTTTCTTCAAAAGATAGCCATGATCGGTTCTGAGATACAAGAAAGCCATCAGCAGGGTGTAGAACTGATTTCAAGTCTTTCAGGAGTGAAAGACTCGGATCAGCATGGTTATCACCATTCCTCTTGCTATCACTGGCTCCAACGGGAGGCAAAACAGCGGATGGCTCGGCAGGCGGGAGGCTCGAAGTATTTTTGGGTCTTTTATTGCTGCCATTAATTCCTTCCGGGCTTCTTGGCGGAGCTGATCTTTTCGCATGAAGTTGGTTGGCTGGGGCCCATCGCACGTTCAACGGGTATCCAGGACAATTCGAGCCATATTCCTCGCAGCGGACGCAACCAGGTTTCCGTTGGTCACATTTGATCTTCTCTAACAATTTAGCTGCATGAAACGTTGAGCTGTATTTATATGCTTACCCGTCTAGTTTTGCACAGTGTGCATCCAAATCTGCTCTTCTTGTGGGATATTCTGGTTGTCATTTTCAATTCTTCACGTATGATGCTAATTGCAAGACGGGGGAAGGAGATACCGGAAGTGAGATAACAGACGGGCAGATTCACCCGGGACGGCTTATCATATCCGTGTTGGAGGCGTCGATGCTACATCCCTACCTCATTTGGCCAACCACCGTTAGTCAGCCGGGAACCCTAGAAGAGCTACGTTGGTTGATAGCCAAGAATCTATAGATGACAAGTGACAAGCCTGCTTGGAATTGGTATTCTTTGAGCAAGATAAGTTATAACCATTCATTTTATTGAAGTCAAAACCCGCTGAAAAAGTGGACGTGTTAACCCGTTCAAATGATCTTGTCTCAGGGCAGTTTCCAAAGTCATTGCATTATTCTGAATAGGGGTCAGTGATCTCAACCCGGTTCGCATTTCATGCTCAGAAAGAAGTTCCTAGGTTCGCCTTAGCATCAGTGCTCTTCATGGGGGCGAATGTTACTTCAATCATGCACTTTAATCCATAATGTGACAGATGCATGCTGACATCTTGGTGGCCTGATGCAATGATGCCCGATACGGTGGGGCATGTGGCCGCATGTTGTTGGCCAGCAACCCCTCGTAGGATCTCTCCCTCCCGAAAAGAATTCTCTCATCTGTGTCTATGCTTGTCATTCTGTACAAGACAATGATCTGAAAACACTTCTGTCATCTGCATTTGAGAACGACATACGACTCAATCATGCCAGAGGCGGCCTCGAATGGCGGCCACAAGCGGGCGCTACTCATCGGCTGTCCCGTTGCGGGACTCAAGGCCCCCGCCCGGGACTTGGAAACTATGAGAACAGTACTCGAAGTTTACGGATTTTCCTGCGAGACGGTACAAAACGCGACTAGAGCTGACATTCTCAACCACTTGGAGGATATCATCGAGGCCACGAACGCAAGCGATGCTGTCGTGGTCTACTTCTCAGGCCATGGAGGCCTTGTAGAGCAGACAGGCGAGATCAACGCGAAGCGCCCAGTCCAGTTTCTCATCCCGTATGACTTTTCAGAAACCACCGAAGGTGACTTCAGAGGAATTACAGACGTGGAGTTGTCACAATATCTGCGCCGAATCACCGACAAGACCGAAAACGTCACGCTGATACTGGACTGTTGTCATGCAGCCCGCATGGCCCGACTCAAGGCCACCGTCAAAAAGATCGACCCGCAAGTCTATGCTGTAGTTTTCTCACACATTCAAAAGATGCTGCGAGATGGCACGCTCAACGGAGGCGGTCATCATGAAAGAAATCCCCGACTTCTCACCATTGCAGCGTCAGCGCAGACTGAGAGCACTTACGAACAGGTCTTCGGCGAGGAGCAGCGAAGTGTGCTCGCCGAAGCTCTTGAGCGTGTGATGCTCCGACGGGATGCGTCTGGTAATCCGTCAATAGTTGCTGGCGCAGCGTCATGCGCAGCGTTCGAGACCGCATCAAAGCCACCTGTCCTCAGCAATTTCCGCAAATTGAAGGAGACGACACGCGGTTCACCTTCAGCCTTGACAAAGCGAGTCTTAATGCCGCACTTCCGTTCTCATACACTCTGAAGGATGGTCCTGTCTTGGAGGGTGGGAGGCTTCACGGTGTTGTGGCGGGAGATACTTATGCCGTCTTGCCGGGTCTTGACGAGCGGTTTGACTTGCGTCGCCAGATTACTGAGATCACCGTTGATGCTGTTGGGCCTGTGAAGTCGCGGGTCATCAAAGACAGCGACCTCATCAGTCGCGTTGAGAAACATGCTGGATCAGACATGAGAGCTTTCCCAAGAAAGAAGATTGGTAGATTGCCCGTCGCAGTTCAGCTTGGGGAGGCCTCAGAGCAATTAAATGGCCGCATCGATGGATCGCCTTTTCTCTGCAAAGCTGAAGACAACGACCCGTCCCCATTCGCCACAGTCGCGCGCGGCGATTCCGAAGTCGAGCTCTGGAGTCAGGAGACTGGCGAATCCTCTCTCCTGGGTCGCTGGCAGGTGACAGGGGAACGTGTTGATGCCCGATGTGTCTCCGAGATTATTGACAGACTGGAGTCCATGGCGCGGTCGAGGCACCTTCTCTCGCTTGCTCGGCAAGTCGAGCCGATTGCACTGTCGCAACAAGTCGGTGTGCAGGTCGGCCGAGTCAGATGTGGCCAACCGGACACCAGCGGCCAAGAAGGAGGCCTCGTGATCACCGAAGGGGACAGGATATTCATCAAACTTCGCAACAATGGCCGATCAACAGTGCTTGTCACGATTTTCGAAATTTGCGCTGGATCTGTTATGATGCTGACTTCTGCAACACCAAGTGGCCGAGAACTTCGTCCCAATGAAGAATACATCTTCGGCGAGTTGGACATGATATTCGGAACCCTTGAAGGGTCTGAGGTTGATTGGCCCGCGAGCGTGCCAAAGAAATGCCCCAGGCTTTTCGAGAACATTGTTGTTGTGGTAACACCTAGTCGACTCGACATGGATCTTCGGTGCCTTGAGACGGGCCCTGGTGCGGCCAAGGGTGCAGACAGGGGTGCTCGAGAACTTGATGCGCCAAGTCTCAGTGAGTTCATCGATACTGTCGGCTCGAATCCTACCAGAGATGTCAAAACTCAACAGACTTATGTCGAATTTGGCATGCGTGTAGTCTCTTTTGAGCTGAACCACAACTAGACCAGCCACTTTTCAAGAATTACACCGCTTGCATGGGCCATCTCTTAAAGCAGGAGTAGTAGTCGTACCTCTGAATTCACAAGCACTTCTTGGTTCGATGATTGGAGTCATGGCTTTGTGTAGTACTGCACCAAGGGCGATGATAGGTCTCGTCTCCTCCAGGTTCCGATCCTTCCATCAGCTCATGTCGACCCGCTTCATATTCCACACCAATTGAGACGCCGCTCGGGATTCCATTACATGAGTCCACTTATCCAGTGCGGTCGCCGCAACGGCGACCTGCATGTAGTTTTGTTACGTGGCAAAGTGCTCCGCCTCTGTCTGCTAGGTTTCGCCGCCCTTTTGGCCCGCTGGCCTTCGCCACCGTTCAACACTGCTTAATGAGACATTCCTAGATGATCGAAAATCTTTTGTCATCGTACAAGAAATCCCCCACGCTTCCAAAAGTCGCCCGAATTTCCACTTCGTACTTCGTTCTAGTGTCGAGTCGTCTTGGAGTCTTCAACATGGAAATACTGAAAGCTGCACCCGTACCACAGGAAAACGTTTTTCTCCACACAACGGATCTACCCGTCGACGGCTGCGATCTTCCCGGCCCCGAAAACCAAGTTTCACAAGAAGAAGCTTGGTGGGGGGGTGACATCCCGGCTTCCGTCCCAGGGGGCCCGGTTCCCAAGGTGAGAGAACACACCATCTTCTTCCGGGTTATGCGTCATGCGAACTGGCGAACCGCTGACAAGGCATCCAGGGGTCCTTCGGAGCCTTGTTAAGGAAACTGAAAGGAGTGCCGGCTTGCGTGTGGGTTGTGAACCAACATGATGAGGAGATCACTGTCGTCGTGTCCAAGCATCGTCCTTGCCGGATGCTCACGGGTTTTGAGGTCAATCTGTCAACAACAGGGGGAGGAATTGGTTTGAGCCAAACAGTACGTTGCCCAACTTCTGTCTCACCTTCTCTTCAGTATTGATATTGATAATTGGGCCAATAGACATACGTCGGCCCCGCTACGAAGAAGACTCTCCAACCCGAATCGAAAACCAAGTCGGAATCTAAAGCTACGTTTCCTCTGTGGACGAGCAAAGACGGCTTCGCTGTGATCACCGTATTCATAGGCGAGGAAAAAAGTTTGCATATTGAGAACGATCGAATACTGGCTGGCGCTACGGCATATGTTGGACATGGGCCGGATTTAAGGATTGAACCGTATGGGCAGGCGTCAAATTAGAAAAAGGGCTTTTGTATTTATATTTTGGACACATGATAGCAACTTCGCTTTTTTTCAAGGACCAAAGTGAACGTAAGGAACCCACCATGACCTCATGACTTCAGGCCTCCTCCTTCTTATATCCCTTGTGAGACCATTTCCGTCTAATTTGAAAGGTGCCTCCATTCCCACTTCCTCCTCGAGTTGAGTTACCGTCTCTTGCTCCACATTTGACCGGCTTATTTTTGACCTGTTGCGCATTTGATGGCTATGAACCCAGTCGTCGCGAAGATGCCGGATCGTGTGATGGAGACTTTGGCAAACGGAATCATCAGTCATGCCCTTTTCCCACAATCCCTCGTAAGTCATCTTCGCCGTATTCACACATAAGCTATCTTCAACTTCCCACAGTGTCCCAATTACATGTCGAAAGCCAGCAAGCTGAAAGGCGCCGGCCAAGTGAATGCTTTCGTCAACTGATTTATAATTAAGGATCTGGCTCGTCCCACATGCCGATAAGTATGCCAGAAATGGAGAAGTTTCCCTCAGATTTATCTCCAAAAGAATGCCAGCTGTCAGAGATTGATCCTCCCAGTCTTCCAGTAGTAAGCGGCTCTGCAGAGGGTCGAAGGAGTGCGTGTGGCCGTGTCCAGCAAAGTGGAACACCTTGCAACCACTATTTAACGCGGCAAGTACATCTTTGTATCTTCCAGCCGCGTGAGTGCAGTCGATTCCCCTGGACTTGCAGCCCAACTTGACAGCATCAATTTCGCTCGCAGCATACTGCAGCGTCTTCATGCCCGGCGTCTTCGTCATGGAAACGAGAAGGAATTCTGAGGTAGAGGTGCCGTCGCCTTCCTCGCGTATTGCGCCCCCTGTGTCGTTCTGGATCACAGATCTGTAGGTCATTGGCTTTCTAGCATGGAGAATGGCATGAACGGATGTACTGTAAGACGATATCACCCTGTCAAGGGCTGTCCGTTCTTGACCACCAAAGTGGTCACCAGCAGCATGCAGAGGAAAGCCAACCAGCGGGCCGGTCGGAATCCACCAAACATGCGGCCAAGCTTTTGCCGTGTTCGGTGTGTCCGTAAAACTCAGATACTCGAGAACAGGTCCAACAATGATATTCCATAGCCAGATCAGGATGTAAGGATCCCTGACTTCAAGAGCCTTTGACTCGATGATTTTGTAGGTGACGTCGCTCAATGGTAAAGTTCGTACGTGATCTTCTTGGACAATGATAGCATCGCACCTGAACCGACTAACATTGACAACAATAACAGGGCCTCTCGAACCTGCTCGGAGCATCTGGTCCTCAGACATGGTGCCGAGAAACACTTCAAAACCGGGCTGTTGCTGTATTTTTTACAGCAGATTTTCCATTCGAGCAGTGGCAAGGTGGCGGATGTCGGCCTCGATGGACGACTTGTCGGAATTACCATGGCTCGCATTAGATGAATCCATGAGATTACGGAGTTGGTCGAAAGCCTGGGCCAACTTTGGATGCGAGCGGTGTAGCTCCGATATGTCTGCGCGGATCTTCTGCAGCGAATCGGCGATGATGCCTCGGCCAGTCTCAAGCAGTTTGAGGGCCTCGGTCGGGCCTTCGCCAGTCTCTATGGCAATTGCAGCAGCATCTGAAGCTAGTCCGACAGCCTGAGTAAGCAGATACTGTTTATCTGCTGGACGCAACGAGAGCGGTGCTGACACCGGGACCAGTGAAATGGTTTGCTTCGCTATGTTGAAGGCTAGCTGTGTATCGTTCAAGACATCTGGAGTTAACAGGAACTGTCGGCCAGCATCGATACGCAAGCTGATCGGGGCTTGCTTATGGCCCAGAGTCGACACAAAGTTTGCCCTTGCATCTCGCAAATCATCTGGTTCTCCGACTTTGGAGTATCTGTCCCAAAGCAAGCGCCCAAGATTGAATGTTGCTGCAGCTCGGTCAGGATGATCATCGGGGCAGGTATTCACCGCTTTGTTGGCAGCGCTGATACCCAACTCAAGGTCATCCAAATATTGCATTTCAAAATGTCGATATTTGAGACCGTAGAACTTTCCCTGGTTGTTCAGAAACTTGACTCGGTCGGGGCGGCCTTCAGGTGTGACCTGCACAGCTTCGTTGATCTGACTGATTGCCATGTTGAGATCTTCAATCAGTCCACTTTTCGGGTGGCTTTCTCCAGAGTATCGATCGATCAATCTGTTTCCAATGGTGCTCAAGATTGGTCCTCGGTTGGGGTTATCCCGTGGAACAAGTGCCGCCAAAGCCGCTTGAGACACATCGATAGCTCGGTCAAGATCGGCCGTTTCCCCCTTCCGCTCAAATCTATCACTTAGAGCGTTTCCAAGGTTGTTCAGATAATCTGCCCTGTCTGGATGAGTAGAAGGAACCGTTTCGACTGCCTCGTCGTGGAACTTGATAGCCTCTTCGAGATCAATCAGCGCCCCAGAATGAGAGTACCTGTCAGAAAGCCGGTTTCCGAGGTTGTTCAAATACTCCGCACATCTCACAAAGTGGTCCTGTTTACCGACTAGCACGGCCTTCCTCGCGAATGCGATGGAGTCGTCCAAATATGAGAGTACATGTGAACGGGCATATTTGTTGCCCAGTAGACTTGCCAGCGCATTAAGACGAGTGCCTTGAGCTGGGTGTCCTTCAGGCGTAGATTGGACGCTTTCTCTGGCGAGTCCGATGGCTTCTTCCAAGTCCGCTTTCTCCCCTGTTCGCTGATATCTATCGCCAAGCCGGATTGATAGATTGAACAGCTGGTCGATGCGTTCCGGAGTCTTCGTGCCCGTAGAAGTGGCTTCTGTTGCTTTCCTTGCTAGTTCAACAGACCTGTCGAGGTCTTTCATCTCACCAGTTCTCAGGTATCTGTCTCTCAGACGAAGTCCCAAGTTGTTCATCCTGATTGATAGCCGAGGGCCGTGTTGTGTAGTAGCCTCCAGTGCCTCCTGCGCAAGTTGAGTGGCCTCCGTCAAATCACATTCATCGCCGGTATGAGTAAACCTGTCACCTATGCGGTTGCTTAGATTGATGAGAAAGTAACCGCGGTCTGGGTGATCCGATGGTGCAATCTTCATGGTTTCTCTGGCAGACCTGATGGCTTTGTCGAGATCCTCCCTCTGTCCATTTTCATAGTATTGTCGTCCGAGGTTCATGCTAAGACCGTTCAGGTAGTCTGGGCGCATCGGGTGTTTCTCTTGAGTTGCCTTGACAGCGTTTTGGCTCATCAGAATTGCTTCATTCAGGTCCGATGCTGCACGCATCCCGATGGCAGAGTAGTGCTCGCCTAGTCGGAGGCCCAAGTTATGGCAGCGTGCTGCCCAATGTGGGCTAGATTCCGAGGTTTCAGCAAGAGCTTCTCGCGCGAATTGAATACATCCGTGTAGATCATCGGTAGTCCTGGTGTAGAAATACTTGTGGTCAAGATGATGACTGAGAGTATCCAGGAGTTCTGGACGCTGTTCATGGCCTTTCGGTGTAATTTTCACAGCCTCCTTTGCCGCAAGAATAACAGTTTCCAGGTCAGACATTGCTCCGGTGCGCGAGTACTTCTTATCAAGAAGGTTGTGAAGGACAATGATGCGGGAAATCTTGTCGTCGATGCGGATGTGTGGCCCCGAGAATGCGTCTTGAGCTTCTCTAGCAAATCCAATGGCTTCATCTAATCCACCTGCGTCCAGAGTCTGAGAGTATCGCTTTCCGAGTAAAGCTCCAAGATTGCTCAATACACTTAGTCGCTCTGGTACGTCTCGGGGAATGATCTCAAGGGCCTTCCTTGCCGCATGTATGGCCAAGTCCAGGTCATCCAGCGAATTTGAGAACAGAAACTTCTCGCCAAAACGAAAGGTAAGGTTCCTCAGAAACGTAGCCTGGTCGAGACTGTCGTTTGAGGTTACCTCGAGACCTTTCATGGCGATCTTAATTGCCTCATTTAGATACTCCCTTTTGAGAGTGCTTTTGTACCGGTCTTCTAGCAGGCTCCCAAGGAGATTAAGACGGTTGGGCAAGTCCAGGCTTCCGTGCGGAGTCAAAGATAATACCTCCTGGGTTATTCGTGTTGCCTCATTTATGTCGTCCTCGGAAGCTGTCAGCGAGTATCTAGCTCCGAGACGTACAGCAAGGTTGAACCGACGATCAAGTCCGCTAGGATGGTCCGGAGGCAAAGTTGCGCTAAATGCATCAATGGCATCTCTCGCCAAGTTAATAGCCTCTTCCAAGTCTTTGCACCTGCCTGTGTACATGTATCTGGAGTATAGAACGTGCCCAAGGTTGTTCAGCCTGTTCGATCTCTCGCGGTGGTCGGCGGGTGTAACTTCAACCGCCTCTCTGGCGTAGCATATCCCATCTTCCAAGTCTTTGGACTCGCCAGTATGCCGAAATCTTGCTGTCACGAGAAAAGCCAGGTCACTCCGCCATCCAGCGCGTGTAGCCTCACTGTGTATGACCGGTGAAGCCTCTACAGCCTGTTCCGCGGACTGGATCGCTTCCTGTAAGTCTGATAACCGGCCCAAGCGCTTGTATTTGGTATGAATCCGATGCGAGAGCTCACTCAGTCGGCTGGCCTTGTATATGTCCTCTTCTGGCGTTGAATCCGCAGCTTTCTGGGCAGCCTCGATGCTTTTGTCCAGATCCATGATTTCGTGAGTTTCGTGATACTTTTCTAGCCAGAGGGAGTGCAAAGTGGCGAGGAAATCTGCCTGGTTCGTGATCAGGCCCTTCTCCGCCGTGATCTTTACCACAGTTTCAGAGACCTCAATAGCTTCCTCAAGATACTGCATGGACTTCGTTTGGCTCCATGCCCAGTCGAGCAGACCTCCAAACTCTGCCAGATTCCTCCATCGATCCTCGTCGTCTTCAGGCACTCCCTCCAGCGCCTGCCTTGCGCGATCCACAACGTCGTCAATACTCTCCATCGGAAAGAGACTTTTGGGACGTAAAGCACTTGGTACTGTGATACCAGACGAATCGTTGATGATTTAGCTTCAATAGTGCCGACAGAATTCAGGCGTGAAATATTGCGTGATGTGACACGGGAGCCTTGCGGCTCACTTGCTTATCCACCCCATATTTCCCTCAATCGCCCGCAGAGCCATTCTTTCCAACGAAAGCGCCAGCCAATCTCCATGCAATTCGCGGGAATGCTTCGGAGCAAGTGACAAACCTATGTACCCAATCACAGTGCTTGAAACACTCCTGCATGTGCATCCTCAGAACCTGGCCTAATTTGTTCGACCGGCAAGCCTGTTCTATCTTGTGCGTTGGTCCTACGTATATGTGGAAGACCGTGAGAAAGGGGCTTCAAGGCTATGAGAGACGGTAGAGTGGACGATACAAACGCTCATTAGGACGGGGACGGGTGCCACAAGTTCCACATGCGACGTATTGCACCTGCACTGGCGGATCGTATCAGATTCGCACGCATGCCTGAGGAAATAATCGGCTAGGACTATTCAAAATCAAATGTAAAGATATCTTTTTGGTGAAACAAAGACCACTTCTGTTGGATTACCAAAGTCCGCGTCTTACATCTCCAACTCCGCCTTCCCGGCGGGATAAATCTAGCGGAGCGCCGCTTGCATTTGTAATCGTCATTCAGACTATTGAATAGTCATTTTCCGCCATAACGTTATGCGACCAGCTTTTAGAGCTGGAGCCATCATAAATTTCATGATTTAGGTCGATATCGACAGAACCTTTTCAGATCCTGGTGAGGATAAAACCAGGCACACTGCATGACTTGATTGACGCGATCAACCCGCCCAAAAGAACGTACGCCAGTCGCACACTAGCCACACTCTTCCTTCTACTGAATTGATTCAAAACATGGAACCAACAATTCTTGTCGTTGGCGCCACCGGTAACACTGGCCGCGGTGTCGTCGAGACTCTGTCAGAACTTCTCAAACCCAGCACCACCTTCTCTAACCACAGAATCCTTGCTCTCACTCGATCGCTCAGCGGAACTGTTGCGCAGAAGTTCGCTCAGCTGCCGAAGGTCGAAGTACTTGAAAAGAACTGGGTGGATATCACCGCGGATTGGCTGCGCCAGCACAACGTTGTGAGGGCCTTCATAGCCGCCCACAACGAGCCCAACCAATTCTCCGAAGAGTCAACCTTCCACGTCGCTGCTCTCAACGCTGGTGTCGAATACGTGGTGCGAATCTCGACGACTGCGGCCAATGTGCGGCCGGACTGCCCTGCGTACTACCCGAGAACTCATTGGGCGATTGAGTCCATGCTTAGCTCGCCGGAGTTTCAACGACTTCGATGGACCTCGCTGCAGCCCAACATCATCTCGCCCCTCTACCTTTACCCCGCGGCGGAGCTGGTCAAGTCGGTTCGCAAGACGGGGAAGCAACATCCGCTGAAATTGATTGCTTCCGAGGATGCTGCGGTCGGGATCATTGACCCCTTCGAAGTTGGGTGTCTGGCGGCTCACCTCCTGATTGCCGAGGATGTGAAGCCGCACGACAGGGCCAAATACGTTCTGAACGGGCCTGAAGACGTCACCGGGCGTCAGATTGTCGAGATGGTTGAGCAGTCACTTGACACAAAGGTCGAGAATGTTCAATTCAAAGACGATTCCTTTGTTGAAGACATGGCGGCTCAAGCTCAGGGGTCGAAGAGCGTCATTCGGTCAATCAGGTACGCTTTGGAGACGGCTTGGGAAGGAAAATGCAGCACCTCCACAACAAGCCGAGAAATATTCGACATCTTTACTCCGAAGGTTACGCCGGCCGAGTCTTTCCAGAGACTGCTGGAGTAAGAGGATTGATTGCCGCCATAGCAACTTTGTTGTCTTCTCGGGTCTTCAACAGAATTGGAGTTTTACTGCTCTCTTTCTTGCAGACTGTAACATGATTACTTTACTTAAGGCCAAATGTAGGCTGTGCTGGAGACTAGAGGAGTTGGAGAAAAGTTGACCAGGAAGCAACGTAGAACCAACTTGCGATAGATAGTCGGGCTTGCGAAGTTGTCGAGGTAATATGTAGGACTCTTTTGTAACAGAAAATCAAAAGATGATTACTTGCATTGGCATTTACCCTTCTTGACTAGCCAAGTCCTCAACGAACATTTCACCGCCTCCTGGTTCTCACACAGTTGGGTGAGCTGTTGAAAGCAATTGCTGCGATAAAACGGTTGAATTTAAGATTCAGCCCCTGCATGCTTAACTTTCTTTTTCTTCTTGATTAAGGGGTGTGACTTCCATCCACCCACTCATGAACCAACGACTGCTTGTTTTGCTGAGCTAGTCGTCTTGGCGGCCCCAAAGCTGAAATCCAAAAGCCGTCATCTTCTCGGTTGAATTGGACCGAGGCAGTGCGGGTCACGACCAAGGTCCCTTTGGCCAGCGGCAAGCATTTAACGGAATATCCGGGATATGACCGACCCGAGGGAGTGTCTGCCTTGAGGAATTTACGAAAGTCCAAATTCATGAATTACCCCTGAATCGATCGTTCGCTTAAATTCTGGAGATCGATATCATCACCTCTTTGTCCTCATTGTTTGCTGCGGGACACCCCTGCACATGCATCCTGCGGCGGATTCGCTTACCAGGACTTTATCAACTTGTTTCTTGCTTCTTCCTTCTAGGCAGAGAAAGCTAGCAAAGATGCGTGTGGAGCCCTCAGCCGACACCTTCAATCTGACCAAAGTTCGCACTTTCTGCCTCCCAACCGACGATTTAAGCGTTCTCGTGGCGATGACGAGACTGCTCGTGATTGGACAACATACGGTGATTTGCGAGAACCGATGACTGTGGAGGTGCCGCGCCAGTCCCGAGTGGCGGCCAGCGGGCGTTCAATATCGGGATGGGAATATGCTATATAAGTCGAAACCTCGTCCTCATGCCAGTCGTTCAATCTCGTAGGACCAGTTCATCAGCGTCTACCCATCTTTTCAACTTTGAAATTTGTCAAAAATGCGGTCTCTTTTCATTGCTACTTTCGCTACTTTGGCCGCTGCGCAGAGCACTCCGTGGCCCTCCTTCGGCAACTGGACCGAAACCGCTGGTGGCTACGACTTCACCTTGTCTGGTCCCGCGAAGCTCGGCACCAAGGCCATGTTCGAGCTGGACAGATGCCACTACGTCTGGAACCTGCTCAACGAGCGCACAAACTGCGACGAAAGGGCCCCGAGTGATGCCACCGAGTGCATGGACCAGCTCTTCCAACGCAAGACCGAAATCGGCGACCAAGGATTCCTCGATATGTTTGAGAGGGAGATCATCGAAGCCAGGCAGTTCTGGTACGAGGTGAACGACAAGTCTGAGCTGGACAAGCCAGAGACCTGGAAGGCCGTCGAAGCGCGCGCAGTCGTATCCTTGCCCAACATCACTGCCTGGGCTTTCTCCGCGTGGTCGTCGTCACCCAGAGCCGACGCGGCTAACAACAGGGAGAACGCGGAGCACTACTTCAAGCACTCGGACTTCACCACCGGCAGCGGTGTCTCGCGCATTCTCGAGGGATGGGGCGGCACGATCACCAACTTTACGATTCCCAACTACAGCGCTGCGCTGTGTGCGGAGAGGGCCATGGTCCGGCCGCTGCCGGAGTTTTTGATCAAGGCGTGTGGCGACAAGAACCTGGTTGACGGCAAGGATACCAACTTTGGCGTGCTCAATATCGCGGCGCGCGATGTTGATGGTGCCTCGTTTGGACAGCCCGGGAAGAGGGGCATCGACATCTACGCGTCCATTTGGTATGGCGGTGCAATCTCTGAGGAGCACCTCGAGGCCGAGCGGCAGCATGTGATCATTGAGATTGTCAACATGAGTCTGAAGGCGCAACAGGATATCGAGACTGGCACGTTCAAGGTTCCTGCGCCTCCGACATTGTAAGATATTAGACTGCACGAAATTTGATGTTGGCGTCGGGGGATGTCGACTTTTCAGTTTGCGAGTCGAACTTCATCCAGCGCCTCCACAAAGGTAAGTAAATTAACAACGCAAATAACCTAACTAAGTAAAGTGAAGCTATCGCTACTACTTAATTAATTAATTCGATATCCCTTAATTAAATTAAAATATTTAATATTTTATATTATTTATAGATTAACTAATAAGAAGCTATAGATTAGCCCTTACTTTAGTTTTCTAAGTATAATTAGTTACTAAAATATAATATTATTAATAACTTATTAATTATTATATATAATAATAAAGATATTTAGATAGCTTTTATAATACTAGTTAATACCTAATTAATATAAAACTTTCTAAAGGAGTAGAAGTTATTATAGTAGTTTAAATAATATAAATAATATTATAATTAGACGTTATTTCTAAAAGTTATTTATTACTTTAGCTTATATATATTATTTATACTCTTTATTATCTTTTTTATTTTTAGAGTTAAGATATTAACTACTACTACTACTTCTTTATTAACTAATAATATATATATATTATTAACTACTATATACTTATATATCTCTATAGATTATAATTACTTTATTTATTATTATTCCTCTAAATCTTATAATTAATAACTTACTAACTATTATTATTAGTAGTAAATAATATATACTTAAAGTATAGCTCTTATATAAGAGAAAGTAGGGTTAATCTAGCTAAATTTAAGATTATAGTAACTTCTTTATTAAGGTTATTTAAAGATATATAATAAGGTTTTACTAAAGTTACTAATAATATAACGCTAAAAGCTAGCTAAAAGTTTTTAGCGTTACTATTATATTTACTTTATAAGAGTATTTACTATAATATATTAACTTAAGCTTTTTCTCTATAGTAATTACACTCTAATAAAGCTAAAATACCTATATAATCTATAAAATCTCTCCTTAGTTAAATAAGAACTTTAATAATACTCTAATATTATTATTAATAGCTATATTTATACTACTTTCCCTAAAAAGACTCTAACTTAGCTATATAAATATACCTAAGGCTAAAGTAACTACTTTATATAATCTCTATATAGCTTTAATTATTTCTACTAACCTCCTATTTACTTACTTTAAGAACTCCTACCTCTAATAAATATTATAGTATTATAATATAGAGATTACTAATAAAATACTATAAAGTTATTTATCTATTTAGGATTATCTTAATAATATTTACTACTATAATAAGAAACTAATAATTAAAGAACTTTATATAATAAGGTTAAAAATATACTTATTATTTAATCTATAGATATCCCTAAATATTTATACCTTTATAAAAGTTACTAATTACTTTATTAATATTAATAATACTTTATAATCCTATTTTTTAGCTTTCTATTAATATTATAGTAATTATAGTAGTACTACCCTTATAATAACTTTTATTAATATTATTAATTACTACTATATCTAAAACTAAATTAAAGTAACTATCTCTAATAATACTATAAATAATAATATCTACTTTTAAGCTTTCTATAGAGAACTAAACCTAAAGATAATAGAAATAGATATCTAAGCTTAATATATATAGTATTATAGCTATATCTTTAATCTCTTAGCTTAAGCGTTCCTATTTAACGCTAATAAAGAGACTCTATATACTAAATTATAGTTTTATAAGTTTAAAAGTTATAATAATAATCTAAAGTATTAGTAATAGCTTAAACTTATTAGTTAGCTCTATAATATTATTAAATTTATCTAGTTATCTTTATAATATTATAAATAGTACTAAAAAGCTATAGTAGAGATTAATAGAGACTCTAACTTCTAGATTTTCTTAGAGTTATACTAAGAAGCTTTTTTTATCCTAAATAATAATATTTACTAAAATAATATATATTTTATAATTTAGAGGGCTATAGAGAAAAAAATAGAGATTTAAACCTTTATACTTTTAAATAATAATAATAATAATACTAAGTAATATATCTTTAAAGAAGACTTTTTATCCCTAAAAGATTAAAAAGTTTTAAGTAAAATAAGTATAATTTTAGAGCCTTTTTACTAATAAATAAAGAGGTATAAAAGCTAAAGCGTTAGTAATAGTTATAGTTAACTTTAAGAGGTTATAATAAGTATAAAATATCTTCTTTTATATCTTATTAACTAAAAAAACTACTATAACGCTATAATCTCTTTATTTATTAATAATAATATTAAGGATTAATTATAGTAGTTATAAAGATATTTAGGCTAAGGTTAATATAACTAATTTTATATCTAAGCTTTTCTAACCTATATTTATAAAAACTAGATATTACTAACTTTATAATTAGCTTTATAATTTAACTTTTTTAATAAGAAGTAGTAATTCTTTCTCTATATTAATATTAAGCTAATATAATAAAAGCTCTTTTTATATTATAATAAAATAAAAAAGTTATTACTATTTTCTATAATATTAATCTTATATTTATTATTAAGTATTTTATACTTATAAGATATATAGCGTTATAAATACTAAGAGGGATAAGTTAATAAAGCTTTTAAAAGCCTTAGAAACTTCTTTAATAAGTAGTATTATTAATTTAAGCTAGAAGTAGTAATATTAATATTAAATAGGTAGCTAATAGTTATCCCTATTAATATTAAAATTTAAAATAATAATAATAATTACTATTAATAGTAAGTTAATAACTAGTGCTACTATATACTACCTTAAGTTAATAAACTTAATCTTTATTTTTAAAGCCCTTTTAAAGCTATTAATAATCCCTTTAAGTAGTAGCTAAATTACTTAGAGATATACTTAATACTTTTTAAATTAGTAATTAATATTCTTACTATCTTTATAATATCTACTAACTATAAGAAGGCTTTTAGTTAGACTAAGTTAACCTTTATATTATAGAGGCTCTTAATAAGGCTTAATACTATAGAGAGTCTCTAGTTAATAAAAAACTAGCTAAAGAGGGGGGTTATACTACTTAGTAATAACTTTAAACTATTAAGAATAATATAAATAACTTTAAATAAGTATAACGTAGTTTTATATAATAATTAATTTATTTCGTTTATAAATTAGCTAAGTAATCAAAAACACTAAAAAAAAGAGCCAAGTTAATAAGTATAGGGGTCAAAATTGCTTTGATTGCCCTTGTGGAGGCGCTGACTTCATCCGCGGAAACCACTTCTGCATGTATGTAGCTTTGACCAGACGGCCTCCTTGTGTAGATAGGTCCTTTACGAGTGTACATAATAGGATTGTTTGCTTCGAAAACATAATGCCCTTGTGTGGTCGGGAATTTGCCGCGGTACTTGGCCTCGGGATGAGATCCTGCAGGAAGGTCATTTGTTCTTTTACGTTCTTGGAGTTGACAGTTTGGCCTGGATGTTTGAGTATCAGTTCTCATTCGTCAAGATGCGAAGGCGAGATGTCCAAATAAGGAAAGTTGCCGGGGCGGCCGGGGTGTCTGCCCTGGGGCCATTATTCTTGGCATTATAACTAGAGCGGACCATGTAGAATACCCACGCAAGCTGACGGTGATCGATCGTGTCATCATCCAGGCATCAGTGGAAGTTCTAATTCACAGTCGATTTGAGGCTCTCGTTCGCGGTCAGCACTAGCCCGAAACGCTCATTTGGCGGCTTTGTAGGCATCCAGCACAGCATGTCCACCTGCAAGATTCACAATACTTCGACCAAGCGAGGCTTGAGCACCAACAAACGCAGGTTCTTTCTCTTGGGCTCTCATTTCACAGAGCTAAGATTCTTGGAAGCCTCGCGTTTTCTTGGACTTTTAACTCCACGCCAACTTGGAAATAAGTGTACGGCGGTATGTGCGACGTTGCTATGGGCCGGGATTAAACCCCGCACTAGCCTTGACTCCGTGTAAGTGACGGCGCTGGACGGAACTATGTCCGCACGGAGGCTTTCGGCTTTTGCGCGGAATTACAGCCTGTCAAAACAGGATGGAATTGAAGTCAATTATCTCATTGATTTGATAGTCCAAGTCAAATAGTCCATCGAGTGAGGATTAAATTATCATCAAAACTTCACCGCTCCTTGAAGGTACATCACTTCATCACTACAACAATTCCGACTCGTTTGAGACTCCAGATCCAACGAAGCTGAATCAAGACGAAATTTCAAGCGATCGCCGCCTTTCCAGGAAATGTCGACCAAATACAATAAGCTCGCTGGGAAGCATGTTCTGGTTATCGGAGGCTCAACCGGCATCGGCTTTGGCGTCGCAGAGGCCGTTCTCGCGGCCGGCGCCAGCGTGACAATTTCTTCCTCTTCGTCCAGCAAACTCTCCACTGCGGTTGCAAGGCTCCAATCTGCGATCCAATCTCACCCGTCGAGCCAAAAGGTCCAGAGTTTCACAGCAGACCTCTCAGGGCCTGATGCCGAAGAAAGGCTCGAGGCCGTGTTCAAACAAGCAGGGCCTGTAAACCATGTCGTCTTCACGGCAGCCGACTCGCTCTCTCTGATGATGCTAGAAGATCTTACTCCCGACAAGATCCTGGCCGCATGCCAGATGCGTCTCGTCGCTCCCCTGATGGCAATCAAAGTCGCGGCGCGGTACCTTCCGAAGAGCAACGAGTCGTCATTCATTATTACCAGCGGTAGCGCGGCACACAAGTCTACACCCGGGTGGTCTGTAGTGTCGTATTTCACGGCGGGCTTACAGGGGATGGTGAAGCAGCTGGCAGTGGAGCTGAAGCCTTTGAGGGTCAATGCTGTTGCTCCGGGCCATGTTGATACTGAGCTATGGGATCACATGAGTGCGGAGGAGAAGAAGGCAATGGTCAAAGGCGTTGAAGAAACGGTGCCGACGGGTCAGTTTGGGAGGGTTGAGGATGTTGTTGAGGCGTATCTCTGGTTGCTGAAGGATCGAAATGCGACGGGTACCGTTGCTGCTACTGATGCTGGCTCTATGGTTGTCTAGGATACCGATCTTTCGACGCTATGACACCATAGGGAAGATGCAACGTCTTCCGAACGTCCATCTAGTTGCTGGCATGCAATTTGTCGTACCAACAATGTTTCCTTCAAATTGAAAAATTGACACAGACAAGACTGAGGAATTGAAGTGTTGAATTCGCAGCGCTCTGACTGGTGGCTTCTAATGTCAGAGTGGATCGCCGGGACAGCTGTCAGCGCACGGCCCCTGAGCCATTTGGTCATGTCGGACCCCGGAGCAGAGATATCCCGCGGTTGCTGGGTCACCCCCCGGTCAGCTACTTTTCGCATGGGAAAATCATCGCCAGCTGCAGCACGCATCGCATGTGAAGTCGACACCTCTCCCAAAGAGCTCAATCTCTTTGTGCATAACCCCTGCGGCGCCGAAGGCAACACAGCACCTCGACGAATACCCCCGACGCTCCTTTCAGGACTCTCTTCCCTTTCGTGCGCGTTCTAGTGTCGATTCCTTCTGCAACGAAACACACCGAATCCATCCCGACACCGACTTCGAAACTTCGAAGCTTGCCGCGTCCGACCCTTTCGAGGCAGCGACGCCTTTAATACCTCCGCCCACAATGGCGCCTCTCATCCTCCACAATGTTCCCGACGAGGAACTCTACATCGGCGACGACGGCATAAAGCGCCCCTACGCCATGGTCTTCCCACAGTACGTCTTTTCCCTCCCCGACGCGACTTCAATCCTTGAAAGGGCCCAACCGCGCAGTGACATCCAGCTAACACCTTCCTCCCGCGCAGACAAGATGGCCTCCCCGGTGCTAGAAACCGCCGCGGCGCCCCAGAGACGGGCTCCTTCGGCAAGTCCACACGCCGCTCCCGCTCCCGCACAGGGACACCCGCCCGCCGCGAGAACCCAACCGTCGCAGCCGCCGACAAGATCTTTGGCGACTGGATCTCCTCCCAAGCGAACGTCACCGCCCTCAACACAGCCGCCAACGCAGGCACCTCATCACAACAACCAGGTACAACCACCAGCTCCTCCGCCGCCGTCGGCACCCAACGCAAAACCTCAGGCCTCTCACAAGCGCCCCTCCTAGCCTCCGAAGAAGCTCCCACCGCCGCCGCAGCCGGCCCCCGCCTCGCCCGCCGCGAGCCCACCGAAGTCATCCTGCGCGGCTACCGCTCCCCCTCCCAGCAGTACGCCGCCCTCGCCCACTACGAGCAGCTCGCCGGCCTCATCTGCGAAGACTACCCCCGCGAGCCCCCCCTCGAGCAGCGCCGCTACAAGTCAGAGCTCCGCGACCCGGCCTTCACCCGCCGCCGCGTCCTCACCCCCGAGGAGCGGGCAAAGGTCAACCGCGCCGACGGCGGCGAGCACTGGGTCAAGGTCACCTTCGAGTCCGCCGACGCCGCGGACGCCGCGTGCTACGCCAGCCCCCAGCGCGTCAACGGCTACCTCGTCTACGCGGAGCCCTACAGCGGCTTCCCCCCGGTCCGCGATGAGCCTATCCCCGATGTCGACTCCCTCGTGCCCACCCACGACGACCTGCACCGCTCCCAGTCCGTACCCGCAGGCACGTTCGGCAGCCATGCCACACCTCGCAAGCGTCTCCAGAAGCCGAGCAACCCCTTCGCCGCGAACGCCCGCACCATGTCCGACCTCTCCCCGCCCACGTCCCTCACCTCCTCCAACACGATGGACACCGCGACAATGTCAAACATGTCCTCCGCCACGGTGACCATGACCGACGCCCCGCCCCTCGAGCCCTCCTCGTCCACGTCCCAGTCCACCGCCGTCCTGCAGATGACGACTGAAGACAGTCTCTACTGCCGCCGCATCCCCACCGCCCGGCGCGCCCGGCTCCTGCCCGCCGAGCAGGCCCTGCTCCCGCAGCAGAGCTACGCCCAGCGCCTCGTCAACGCCGTGCCCTTCCTCAAGTGGTTCAGCGGCTCCATGATCGGCAACGAGGTCCCGCGCACCGACACGGGCGAGTTCGACTGGAACCGCGCCAGCCTGTACTGGAAGGTCATCTGCTGGCTTGACGCGACGTTTGGGCTATTTGGCGGCGAGATCCTGACCGCCGACAAGGACGACTAGATGTTTTCCGTTTCTTGAGATCAGGAGCCTTTGGGAGGTTTTACGTCACGGGCAGGGGATGGGGGGGAGAGGCGTTTGGAGGAAAAGTTTCATTTAGCATCATGAATACCACGCACTACTGGTTCTCCTTTTTTACTACTACAACCATACTAGACCGACGGATGACAAGATTGGAGAAGCTGCATGCAGTCTTTTGGAGCAGGAAGAACAAACAATACCGAACTCGCGCAGAGAGAGGAATAAAAGGGATCAAAGGTTCTGTATGACCAGTTGTAAGACTATGCCGCGCCGAGGAGGGGCGTCCCTCGATTTTTTCTTCTTTCCATAGACGCCTCTAAATGGGTATAACAAGAAATAATTCATGACTTTGGGCCGCCGTCGAACACAAACAAACACACAAAGACTCCTTCAAATCGAAACGTCAGTCTACTAGGCGTCTTCCTCATTCACACTCCACCGCCTCTCCCGCCGCCCCCTCTCCTCCGACCCCCCGTTGACCGACGACTCCACCACCGAGCTCCCGTCGTTGCTCTGCCCCCACGGCGTCTGCCCGTGCTGCTGCTCCTCGTCCTCCTCCTTCAGGATGCTGTACCGCCGCTGCTCCGCAACCCGCTCGTCGACCTGCGACGACTCCTCGCTCAGCCCGACGCCCAGGCTGTCGAACGTCACGTCCGTCGCGTGCCGCCGGATCGGCTGCGGCGAGAACGGCCGCACGCCCCGCGACCGGTTGAACGTCGTGTCCGAGAAGATGCTGTCCGCGTCGTTGTCGTCGCCGAGCCCGGGCGAGGCCACCGCCGCCCCGAGGCTCTGGTACCGGTCCGAGTCGCTCAGCAGGCTGTCGCCCCGCGCGTGGCCGCCGCCCTGCCGCGTGACGTCCGAGGCGGCGTCCGCGAGGATGCTCTTGGGCGGGAGGATGCTGAATAGCTTCGCCGTCTCTGCGGACCCGCCGCCGCTGATGCTCGCGTGGTGCAGGTCCGCTACCTCGTCGCTCGCAAACAGATCGGCGCCCTTTTCCAACAGCTCGTCCAACCCGCCGCCGCTCCACCCTTTCCTGGCCAGGCTCTCGAAGATATCGACTTCCGCCCGGACGAGACTGCACGAGGCCTCGAGGATGCGGCCGCTGGTATCCTGGCTCTCGCGGAGGAGGGTGCGCGCGTGGTCGCCGTGCAGCGCGGTCAGGCCGTCGAGCTTGGTGGTCAGCTCGACGAGGTGTGCGCGGAACTTGCCGACGTCGCGGCGGCGCTGTTTATGCAGCTTGAGGCCGTCCTTTTCGAGCTTCTGGATCTCGCGGGAGCGCGCCTGGACCTCGCGCACGTAGACCTCCTCCTCGTCGTCGACGCGCTGGCGCCACTTGTCGAGCTCGTGGAGGAGGGGCACCTCGAAGTCGCGGTAGACGGTCTCGGAGAGGATCTGCTGGTGGTTCGCGACGAGGTGGTGGACGCCCGAGGCGGAGAGGAGGAGGTCGGCGGTGCAGGCGGTGCTGGGGCCGGCGCCGGGGAAGCTGGAGGAGAGGAGGGCGGCGCCGCCGTTGGGGTGGGTGCTCGCGGAGAGGGACTCGGCGCGGGCCTCCTTGAGGCGGGCGCAGGACTCGAGGGCGGAGCCGAAGGCGGAGGCGGCGGTGGAGAGGGTGGCGAGGGCCTGGCGGTAGGCCTTTGCGGTCTGGAGGAGGTCGGTGTAGGCGGTCTGGGACTGCTCGAGATCGGCCTTTGTGAGGATGGCGTGGACGGGGCGCGGGGGCGGCGGGAGGGGGAGGTTGAAGGAGGAGAGGGGGTTCGCGGTGGAGGCGAGGGAGCAGACGGGGGAGCCCGGGATCGGGGGCAGCTGGGAGGGCGTCGGGGTCGCGGGGCGGGTGTCGGAGGAGCCGTTGGCGGCGGCGGGTGTAGGTGGTGAGGTTGCCATTTGTGTGTGGTTTCGGTTTTCGTTTGGAGGGGGTTTTTGCTGATCCCTCCGGAAGGGCGGAGGGGAGGATGTGGAATGGAGCTGTGTTGAGGCTATTTCGGGATGCTGTTTATTGTGGCGACCAACGCTGCGGGGGCTTCGCGGGCTGCGTTGCTGTGGCGGGAGCTCGGGGTTTTGTTTCGTTTGTTTGGCTAGCTTATCGCGCTGAGCCGGGCAGTCTCATCGTCAGATCGTGATGTAGGACAGGGAGGACGAAGGAATGGGAACCTGTCAAAGGCTGAGGTCTCTAGGAGGAGGAGGAGGGAGGGAAGGGGAAAGAAAAATAAGGAATATTTTAGGTGCTCTAAAAAAAAAAAAGATGAAATCGCTGAAGATGGTTCTGCAAGATGCTGCAAAGCTTCCTTGGAAAGGCGATTGCGGTTGGCGCATGTGGGCCAGGCCATGGTGCAGGTAACAGCACACACGCACAGCAGCCCAAAGGTACTTGGAGGCCCTTGTGATTCGAGGGGGCAACTGCTGACCGCCGCACCCTGCCCACTGGGCCGCAAGGTGGTGTCCGGCCGTTACCCGGATAGGCCCTGTGCTTGCGTGCTGCGGCGCCACCTCGCGGACGCTGCAGCCGCGATAAGACCCCTGGCTGGCACCACTTTGGGCTTTCGTTAGCGTCATGGGCCGTTTGAACGGTGTGTCTTGCAGGACGTGGACTTAGGTAAGCTGGTGGTTGTCAGGGAGTTGCTGGAGAAGACAACTGATCCTGTTTGGTGTGATTGGATATCTGACACAAGAACAGTGCGTGTGATGTCGAGAGATTGGAGGCGGCTCTTAGCTTGAATCCGGAGTGAGTTGAAATATTACACTGTACTAGTATCCCCGGGTGTATGGGGCCGTAGCTTAGTCTCAACCACGGAGGTGAACCCGAGCCCGGCTGGACGAACAACACATGCAGCCGCCAAGATGGGTGTGGTGGGCCTGAAAGGAAGTACGGAACCCGCAGAACACGCCTCACTTTATTTTTGCACCATCTTACTTTCCGATGTTGACTCGACGACGTTGTTACGCTAATTTGGTGTAGCAAGCGAGGCCCGATATCTCTTCGCATGTCAGAAAACGCAATGGTTCAGAATAAAATGCCAGTGACGATTCGCCGAAGAGAGTTAATCGCGCCTAGGACTCAAGTGAACACATTCAGTTCGACTTTGGAACGAAGATACTGAGCACAGGCCTAATTTGGGTTGTGATGGACGCCGGGTTCCCATGAATTAGTGACTTTGAAGTTCCTGATTTGGAAGTCTCAAAAATACACATGTTTAGGGGGCGTCAGGCAGTTTCGCGCCAGTCGCTGGCGACTAGTGCAACTCAATACGTATGGGACCGGAGAATTCACAGTCTCGTTGTTGTTCGCAAAAGGAATTCACTATTTCGTCATTTCAACTGGTGACTTGGGCGGCCTGCATGGTTTTTGGTGATTATTTGGGTAAATCGTAACTGCTAGATGTTGCCTGTGCTCTACTAATTATTCAAGGTAGGTATGTGATCATTGCCTTTCGTCACTTTCAATGAGCAGAGTGTTGGAACTGCTATTACTTGGGCATTCAAAGAGGCAACCATCTAGAATGGCAATCATCTAGGACAGGCAATCGTCTAGAACAGGCAATCGTCTAGAACAGGCAATCGTCTAGAAAGATGTATCCAGGAAAGCTCCCGAAGTGTATTTCGCACGACGAAGGCACAAATGGCTTGTGATGGCGCAGATCAATGCAGCACAACAAACACATGCTCCCAGGCGCCAGGTACATTGGTACAACGCCAGTTAGCTTCTGTTACCTTCTCTCAACAGAACACCAGGATGCTCCCATATTGGCTGCATGATGAGCACATCAACATGGCTTACATGTCTCATATCCTACGCGGGTTCTTGCCCAATCGCCTCACCGGGAGCGTGCGACAACGCGTCAAAGTCGACGTGGTGTTACAATCTTCCGATCTTGTCTTACACACGAAAGAATATAAATAATCGACGCTGGCCCCCGACATCTTTAAAAGTAAAGACCATCGTTGTCTGGCTTAATGGCCTCTCTGTTCCCGCTATGGAGCCTGATTCGGAACATGCCTACGAACTCCTCCGCTGCCCCTTGCCGCCCAGCAGCATACATCTTTTAGACACGATTCAAGACATTCACCCAAACTCTCGCGCAAGTCCAGACACTTTGCAACGAATAGACACAGATCATGCCAGCTCAGAGCAACTGACTTCTCCACCAGACTTGGATGAAGACTCAAACACGCATCTAACGGCAATCGACTGCCACGAAGGGAGCGACAGAGATGAACATTCATCACCGAAGTCTGAGTCTGACCAGACCCGATCACCCGTGCATTGGAATGGCTTGCCATGGTCCAGATTCCTTGGCGACATTATTGCCATTGCACTTTCATTATGCTTCCTTGGTTCGTTCACTACTATTTGTTGCCCCGAGTCCACGGCGAACCTTTCACTGAGACATGGAACAGCTCTGGGTGTATGCATTTGTTCTATCCGAGGACAAGAGGAATCTGAGTGGTCAAAAAAGGTGATTGTGGCCACGGAATTGGCGCCCTCATTCTGGCCTGTGATCTTTTCAGGCGTTGTAGGCAACGCTCTGAAGGCATATGCAAACTGGCACCTCGAACGTGGTGTCCCACTGAGAGTAGCTTTTCCCTCTGCATTCAATGATGTTCCCATGCTGACAACAATCTAGGCTTTGGAACAAGTCCTAGGGTCTTTGACGATGGCCAATACGGTTCTATCCGCTTATGCCCTGTCCATGATCAATATTTGGACTGTCTGTCTGTTCTTCGTGTGGGCATTCAATCCTCTAGGCTCGCAATCTTCGTTTAGGAGTTTATACCTTCAGAATCAGGTGATGAACCTCGATGAACGTCTAAGCTATAAAAACTACGCACTCAAGACTATCGAGAGCAGCGCCCTCAATGGAAGTTACAACTGGTTAATTAATAGGTCCGCAGTCAATGCTGCATATAGCAGCGTCCTCACCTCTGCCACATCCGGCACACAGTATTGCAATAGTACTTGCATCGGTTACGACAACCTTATAGCAAGATTGGGTGGAATTCAGGCAGCAGCTGCACAGATGGCGATTGACCCGTGGGGCAGTCCTCGAGTGCCCAGCCTAAAGCATGTAGCTGGGTTTGACGCGTCAAATCCAGAGAAGTGGCTTGATGTACCTTGGAATCAAAGCGTTCAAAATTACTGTAGCCTCATTGGAAACCGTGTTCATGGGATAAAGACGGAACTGATTGGAAATGTTTCGTTCCCTATCAACGCTAGCTATATCGACTTGCATGATGTAAGTTCCGAGTTCAGCGCTGGTCACAAACTGCTAAGAAAAGCCTCAGTGTTACGAGTGGGTATGCAGAAGCCCCTCTTCTGACGATGAAATTAATCGGGTTAGTCAAAGTTCGTGAAGAACGTTCTTCAACCCTGCTTCTTTCGGCGTTGATGTTCACATTCTTGAAGCCCTTTATCGACTGGTTTGCTGCGAACTACAAATCATTCACAGAAAAATACAATGCAACACTCGATCATCCACCTTACGAAATGGCTTTGGAGTACTTCTTCGGAGACCCATCTCGTACGAAAAGGTCTAATACCTTTAGTTTGGATTACAACACCACTTACGGACCGGGAACCCAAGGCAAATCGAATACTACAATATTTGTAGGGGCTGTAAGCGACGATCGCTATTGCATGACGTCATGCGCAGCAAGGACTATCTATGTGAATGTCGAAGTCTTTTGCGAATATCATGGCATCGCCGCACAATCCCAGTGCAGGGTTGATCGTATAAGACAGCTACCAGAGCCGCCGCTGTCGCCTTTAGAGACAATTTTCAGCCCGAAGCATGTCGCCCGAAGAATTCCTGACAGTCTGATGATCCGGTTCCCTCCCGCGGATGCAGAGCAAGACCGTGGCTCAAGCTTTTCCGAAACCTTTATCGAGAATCCTGTCTGGACTCTAAAAGTGCCACAGGGCATACACCGTGTAGAGTGGTCCATAGTCCCCATGGAGATCTTCGCAGATCGATTCGGTTTACTCCTGAATACCTTTTTGGATTCTACCGTCGATCCCCAGGCCATACTGGGAGGTATGCCGGAGAACAAATCATGGCTGCTCAATACGACGTCCGCGGTGACGATCCCACTCGCCGCTACTTACGCCCTTGACACCATCTGGATTGTCGTTTACTTCATCTCTACTACTATTATGCTCACAGCCGCACTCGCCGGGCTGGTTTTCCATTACCACAGTGACGCGCCACAGATACTAGGTTTTGTGGGAAGTTTGGCGAAAACCTCACCACACTTCGCCGTCGGAGAAACGGGCGGAAATAGCACTGAGAGCGGTGAAGCGGTGTCACGACGTCTCGGGGATACGAAGGTAATGGTGCTGGATGAGAAGCCTGACGAAGCAGTTGGAAGAATTGCGTTCGCTCCGATGAGTATGGGAGATAGAGTGCAACGTGGAAGGTGGTATGATTAAAAGGGCGGAGTGATCGAAGCGCTGGACAAACAGGTAGTGTGCGGGAAGTTCCTGTTACGGCTGGAAGAGCCGGTCCCTTTGAGGCGTCATTATAATGCAGAACAGCCGAGGAATTTGCGGAAGAGCACTATTTCCTGTCGATTCTTGGGGGGTTGATAAAGGCTATAACGTATCTGGGAGGTGAAAGAAGGAGCTTATCTCGAATCCGGATATTTCTTTAGGTTACCTCGTAGGCGGTAAACGTAGCTCTACAGTATCTTTCTAGCCATTCAGCGAAGTCTCCCTTCTAAGGATGTAGTAACGTATTTCATCAGACCTATTTCCATCTACTTCTTCTCAGTAGGCGGCAACTGCTTCAACAAAAATGCCTCCACATCATCCAACTCCTCCAAGCAAGCAGAGTGACCCATACCCCTAGACCTCAAAGTCAGCATGCACAAGTCCCAGACAACAGCCCATCAACCAAACCAGAACAGGGGAAACAGAGTACTCACGGGTAAAGCGTCCTCGACACATCATACCCCAACTTCTTCAACGCCTCCATGCTCAGCGCGCCCAGCTCCGGCCTCACCAGCGGATCCGCATCTCCATGACCCATGAAGATCGGCGTCGCCTGGTTCGGCTTGTCCGCCGGCACCAGCGACGCGAAGCGCTCGCTCAGCAGCAGCCAGCACGACAGGCCCACGATGCCGGCGACCTTGTGCGTGCCCGTGAGGCCCGAGAAGATGGCCATGGCGCCGCCCTGGCTGAAGCCGCCGAGGACGATGCGGTCGGCCGGGATGCCGGCGTCGACCTCGGCCTGGACGAGGCTGTGGAAGTACTCGTTGGACGCGAGGATGCCCGGCGCGTCCTCGTTCTCGCGCAGCGACTCGACGGTGCCGTCGAGCTTTTTCTGCAGGATGGCCGCGGTGGTTAGGGGGGACGGACCGGGGGGGATGCGGTGGCGGTCTAGGATGGAGGCGCGACTTACAATGTCGAACCAGCCGGGCATGCGCATGCCGAAGTTCTGAGGTGGGGGTTCTTGTCAGCGGCTTTGATCATTTGTGAATTCCCCCGCAGACGTCTCTCATGAATATCATCCAGCACCTCTCATTTATCATGCCGCATGATGAATGTGATGGGACGAGATGAGATGCGATGAAATGGAAATGAGACGGATAACGGGGATGGATAGGGGCGCAACTCACACAGGTGATGGGGATCTGCGGCGCGTGAGGCAGGACGAACTTGACCTCGTCCAGCCTCTGCCTCCGCCTCCAGTTCTCGACGGCGCTCGCCCAGCCGTTGCCCGTGTCGCCGAGGCCGTGGGCGAAGATGACGGTCGCCGTGTGCTTCCCGGCGGCCGGGAACACGAGCGGGGCCGCGCGGCTGATGGACGACGACATGTCGGCTGCTACTGGTGGGGTTCCGCCAAAAAGGGAGTCTTGCGGGACGGCGGCGAGCGGAGGGTGAGTGTCGCGGTCGTGGTGCTGTTGAGGTTCTTCGGAGACGGTGAGGTGTGCGAGGTTGGCGATGACGACGAGCGTTGTTGCGATGAGCCCGCGGAATGAGAGCATTGAGAGCAAAGGGCAAACTGGAGGTCCAAGCTGATGGGCCGGATGGGAGAGCTTGAGGTGTCCACTTTTGGTTTTTTTTTCCCTGGTGGCTCCGTTCCGATGGGTGGGGTCGCTGATTGGGAAGATCTGTGGTGTGCCGGCGCGGCGTGTAGATCCGTCTGGAACGCACTGTGGGGCGGATGGATGTCAGATGAGCGATACAAGATGTGGTGTCACAGGCTCATAGCGATTGCCAAATGCTTTAAGCTGTTTTCTATTTTCCATTCAGCTACACAGAACCCATGCCAAGGAATCATACTTGTCTGCAATCCGGGGAAGACGGGGGCCTTCCTCGGAATACCACCGGCACAGCGGATTTAAACTCACCGTCAGCCCACGAGCGGATCCCTTCAGCGCACTCCCGCCACTAAATCACCCCGAAACACACAGTGGACCCGGCCGCGCGCGACGAAAACCACCCCGCCCATCACCACGCCGGCCCCTCCGCGTGGCCCTCCGTCCCTCACCCGGTTCGGGTAAGGGTTCCTCACCGACGTCCGACGTGAAGCCGTCACTCATATAACTCCCAGCCGACGAACACACCACCGACAGATATGACCATTTTCCCCCTTCTAAGTCCAGCATAAACAAACCACCGAGTCTGGATTGAACCCTCACCATGGCCCGTCTAAACCCAATATTCCTCCTCTCCCTCCTCGTCGCCCTACTCGCATACATGTTCTCCCCAACCCTGCGATCATTCCTCACAGCCGTGACATCAACCCTCTCAAACTCCCAAATGGACCCAACCACACCATTATCACCGCCACCGCCAAAAAGGCCCCGTATGCCAGTCTACTTCTTCTCCCACGGCGGCGTAAGCTTCCCCTCCCCCCTTCCCTCCCCCCTTCCCCCATCCCACTAACACCCTCCAGCCCGACGTAATGTACAACAAAGCCCACCCAGTCTACCCAACCCTTCAACACATCGGCCACGAAATAACCTCCCTCGCGCCCTCCGCCATCCTTGTCTTCTCCGCCCACTGGCAATCTCGCTCCCGTACCTCCGTCAACATCAACGCCGCGCCCGGTCCCGCCCCGCTAATCTACGACTTCTCCGGCTTCCCCCTGCACTACTACTCTGCCTCCTACCCCAACACAGGTTCTCCCCCGCTCGCGTCCCGCACCTGCGCCCTCCTCGCCGCCCACAACATCTCCTGCGTCCCCACCACCGACCGCGGCCTCGACCACGGCGTCTGGGCCGGCTTTCACGTCGCCTTCCACCCGGACACGAACCCCCTCGGCTGTCCCTTGGTGCAGGTCTCGCTCTTCGGCTCGGAGGACCCGGACGCGCACTACCGCCTCGGCAGGGCCGTCGCCGAGCTGCGCGACGAGGGCGTCGTCATCATCGGCGCGGGCATGTCTGTACACAACCTGTATGACATGGGCGGCGGCCCGGAGCCGATGCCGTATTCTGTCAGCTTTGACGACGCCCTGAAGGAGGCGGTCGAGAGCAAGGTGGAGGAGAGGCAGGAGAGGATGGCGCAGGTGTGTAAGAGACCGGATGCTAAGCAGGCGCATCCTTGGATGGACCATCTTATGCCTGTTCACGTTGCAGCTGGCGCCGCGGGAGACGACCTCGGGAAGCAGCTATGGACCATGCAGGAGGGCAGCTTTGCATGGGCCCAATATCGGTTTGGGTCAGTACCCAAGACGTGATGGAAGCTTTCCACATAAGCGTAGCACATCTGTATTATTATCATTGACTCGAAATAACTTCTACCACGACATAGAGCATAACACCCTTCCCAGGCACTCAGACCATTTGCTCATGTCTCAAGTAATAAGCATGCATACTCATGTATTAGGACGTTGCCTTCCTGGTATCGTAACCCCTGCCGTCGGTCCTCCATCTTCATTATCATAACGCTGTTGTAAACCTTCCCACCGCCGCTTACTTGCCTCCACATTGACGCTACTAATCACAAGAATGCTCTCGAATGCTCGCTTCTAACCATGGCTCGATGTCTGTCGCTGAGAAAGTTCTCAACCATCTGCTGACTACCAAGCTTCTGGGCCCTCCAGTCATCAGAACTAGTCGTGTCTGAGGTGTCTGTGCTGTTGAAGTCGCTCGAGTCCAAAAGGCGACGACCACTGCCACTTTGCCGTCTCTCTCTGGGTGAACCCCGATTGACCTGGTCACTGCCCAGCATTGGGCCGAATTGTTTCTCCACCGTCATGCCAAGCCCTGGGCTGGAGACTGACGGCTTGAGGCTCTTCCGTAGGCCAACACGCCGGACCAGCTTCATAGGGGATCGAGTCTTCGGCTTCGTCTCGGCCGACGTGAAATCAGGCATTGTATCAGAGCTGCGCACCTTCGAAGTCGCTCTGTTGGGTGACTTGACGGGAATGTTGCTCTGGGATGAACGCGACTGGAGAAGTGGCATTGAGGGAATTTCTCGGAGAGAGCTTCGGGGTGGAATCGGTGGTGGTCCGTACACACGAATATGGCCGTTTACACGGCCCTCTGAGTAAGGAATCGCATTCTCGTTGCTGTAGAGTGTGGAAACCTTCGGTGGAACTGCACCCTCAGCACGGCTGGCTGATGATGCCTGGCGATTGTGGCTCATTGTACGAAGTGGTGTATGAAACTTGATAGGTCCTGCCGGTTTGTATAACTTGGGCTCATCTTCAGCGTACATCTGAGCCCCCTCGCGTACTTGCCCTTTCGGCATGCTGGGCTTGGCGTATCTCACCTCCATCATCTGTCTAACAGGCGCGTGAAGATCACTATTGGATGCGTTTGCCGAGAGATAGGTCTTCCATTCAACAGAGCTGGCATATGACGCGGTTCTGGCCTCAGTGTCGATGGGCATTGTCGGTACGTATGTCAAAGGCTCACATGGCGTATGAGACCGCGACCTTCCGTGGGAGCCAGACCTAGTGAATGCGTTTGCTGCACGCTCAGTAATGTCCGAGTAACAACTCTTAGAATGCGTGAGCCCGTTAGTCCTGGAAGACGACCCGACACTGGGACGACGAGGACGAATAGCGCCGGGAGCAACCAATGCCGACGTTAGAAGTTCAGACGAGAGAAGCTGGGGCGACAACAGCCTTGGTGACATGGGTTGGTCAGAGTAGATGCTGTCCGAATAGGCCAGACGAGGATCATCGCCAGAGAGACTTGGATGGCGTCTCGTGGATACCAGATCCAGATTCAGCTCGGGAGGCGCAGATGACTCAGAGCTGCTCTCCTTCATTGACTTCTGCAATGCTCGACGGTAAGGACTTGTAGTCCGGAACAAGTGGCATGTTGGGCTGCCAAAGAAGGCCGAGCTTCGAGTAGATAGCGTTTTCGGAGCAGCCGAGACCTCTCTAACGGTGACAGGCAGAACCTTTTTCTCGTCACCTACTGCAGGTCCAGGATACGGGCTGTAATGTGCACCCGTGGGAGCGGTCTTTGTGG